AATCTCCTTTGGAAACCCCAAACCTCAAGTTCCTATTGGTGACTTAAGAGCGGCGCTCCGCGCGAGAAGTTAAGGGGTCTCCACCATGGCTTTCTCGTCTTCCACCATGGCGAACCCCATCACCCCGCTCCGCCTTGAAGCCGATGGCTCTAGCTCCAACTTCAAGGCGTGGAGCTACGGAGTTGACAAGCACCTCCTGAGCCGTGACGTGCAGGGCCTTGACCTCAAGGACGTCCTCCTCAACCGTGGCAAGGGGAAACAGCCCACTCTTCCCCGTGAACCGACCGAATCTTCAAGTGATGCTGACGTGATGACGTACGAAGAAGCTGTTGAGAAGTACCGGAAGTGGGAGAAGGCCGATGCTGCCATCATCAGCGTCTTCATTGCCTCCACCCCTCCCGAACTTGTCAACACGTTCCACAACTACCCTACCTCCAACGCCATCTGGAAGTATCTCCAGGATCGGTTCATGAACAAGACGGCGGTCGGAGTGGCGATTCTCATCCCCAGCATGTTTCAAGTCCGCCTTGAGGACTGCTCAGGAATGGCTGATTACATCGCCAAGGTGCAGACCATTCATGGTGAACTCAAGGAGCTGGGTATAGTCTTCCCCGAACAAGCCCCTGCAGCCGCCCTTCTTGTTGGTCTCTCCTCGGCATATGAAGTGACGAGGAAGATGCTCCTCACGCTCTCAGCGGAAGACCTCACCTTTGCTAAGGTCTCCACCGCACTCCTCTCTGCCGAGAAAGACTCCACTGCTCAGGCCAAGGCATACGCCATCCGTGCTCCCATGCCCCTAGCAAGTGTTGCAGCAGCCCTTGCCTCGGCGCCTTTCCAGCGCAACCGCTTTCCTCCGTGCACCTACGTCGTCAAGTATGGCAACCGCAAGGGACAAGTGTGTGGTGGCACTAACCACCCCCTTGCCACGTGCTTCAAGAAGAAAGACGACGAGTGGTATGCCATCCACGGGGTTGACAAGAAGCCGCCAAACTGGATGCGCGCTCGTAAGGCCAATCTCGTTGAGGTCCAGGACCCCTCTTCGGCTAGTGCTAGTGACAGTGCTCCTGTTGATGTGCGTATCAACCTGTTGTTTCCTGGCACTGCCATGATTAATGAAGCCACTTCCCAGTACATCGACTCATCACAGGCACCACAGTACATAGAGTTCACACTCGACAGTGGGGCCACTCACACTGTGCTCAAGGAGACACTCTCCTTCAAACCCTATCCAGCACCTATCCCTCTCTTGGGAGCTGACTCCAGCTTCACCACCCTAGCCAAGGGCACCTCCACAGTCCCATGCCCAGCCTTCCCTTCCGGCACCGTCACTGGCATGTGCGTGCCTTCACTACGCCACAATCTAGTGGCTCAAACAGAAATTCAGAAAGCAGGGCTACGCACCATCTTCTCGGAGAATGAGGACCACTGCGACATCATTGACCCACTCACCAACAAGGTCTTGGCCCGCTTCACCCTCAATAGCAGCGGCCTCTACACGCTACGCGTTCCTCTCCCACAGGTTTCAACCACCCAAGCACAGGCTCCCATCACACCATGCACATGTCGCAGCCTCTCCAACCCGACCATCCTCTATCATCATCGGTTAGGGCACCCAAACTTCCGCACGCTTGCTGACATGGCCTCCAAGAAACTTCTTCTCGGCCTGCCAGCCACACTTCCTCCACCACCTGACTCACCCGCTCCCACGTGCCTTGATTGCACCAAGAGCAAACTGCGCCAACAGCCCCACACTGCCTCACCCACAATCGCAGCGGCACCACTGGACCTAGTGCACATGGACGTCTGGGGCCCTGCCCCTGTTCTTGCACGAGGTGGATATCGCTACTTCCTAGTTATCGTGGATGACCACTCACGATACGTCTCTGTTCACCTCCTCCACACTAAGGCTGAGGCTCCAGAGGTCATCATGGCGTGGGTCAAGCAGGCACAGACCACCTTTGACCTCAAGGTCAAGCGCCTTCACTCGGATGGGGGGGGTGAATTTTGCAACGACAAGCTTAAAGCCTTCTGCTCCTCCGAAGGCATCCAGCAAAACTTCACCCTCCCTGACAGCCCTCAACAGAACGGCATAGCTGAGAGCCGCAACCACACTCTAGTGCAGATCACTCGGTGCCTCCTCAGCCACTCCAACGCTCCACACTCTCTCTGGGGATACGCTCTCTACCACGCCGCCCTCCTCTACAACCTTTACCCCCATCCGCACCTTCCCGACACCACTCCAACCACACTCTGGCTCGGGAAAACGCCCACTGCTCGCTCTCTTCGCGTTTGGGGATGCACCGCCTATGTCCTCCTCAACCCTCAGGCTCGACGCCAGAACGGTGGCAAGCTCGGTCCCAAGACTCAAACGTGCATCTACCTTGGGCACAACGCCGACTCACCTGACTACCTCTTCCTCAATCCCTCCACTCAACAGTTGGTCAGGAGCCGCGACGTTGTCTTTGATGAGACCCGCCCATTCTACTCCCCTTCGGGACGGGACCCTCTCCCTGATCCACCCTCCCTCGTGTGGGCAGACTTTGACGCGCCTCCCGACCTCCCGCCTGCTCCTGCCCCCTCACCTCCTCCCTCTCCTGCCATCCCACCATCTCCCTCTGAGGTCTCTGACCCGGCCTCACCGGTGTCTTCGGCGGCTGCTCCGCCCCCCCCCTCACCTTCCTCACTTCCCGCTGCGCCGCCCCCTCCGAGCGCACCTATCACCTACCATCGGCGGTCCCACCCTCCGGCCCCACCTCCTCCCCCAGTTCCCCCCACCACAGAGGAACCCGCTCTCCCACAGTCGCCCGAGCTGATCACGTACCGCCGGCGGCCCATTCCCCCACCCAAGCCTCCTAAGTCACCCTCTCCGACACCGCCTGCCCCGCCCTCCTCACCGGTGGCTCATGGCACCCGCTCCCATCGCGCTGCTCTTCCACTCGCAATGGTTCTTCGATACACAATGATCACACCGCCTCCTCCTGCTGGGGGGGATGTGCCCTCTACCCTTCTAGAAGACAGGCATGAGGAGCTGTGTGATCTCCATGCAGTCATTCCTCAGCTCTCACACATCTTCCCCGATATCACTGGCTCACCCTCCCTCAACCTCGCGGAGAACCCGACCATCCCTATCCCTCTCACCGTCCAAGAGGCTCTCTCAGGCCCTCATGCTGCCGAATGGCGTGCTGCCATGGACGCGGAGATTGCAGCATTCACTCGCAACCACTCTTTCGATGACGAGACTCCACCTCCAGGAGTCAACATCGTCGGGGGCAAGTGGTTGTTCCGTGTAAAACAGCTCCCAGACGAGGCACCGGTGTTCAAAGCGCGTTACGTAGCCAAGGGCTTCACCCAGCAGCGGTACCGCGACTTCGACCTAATCTTCTCCCCCACATCCAAACCTCCCACCATTCGAACGCTCATGGATGTTGCAGCTCGAGAAGACTTTGAGATCAAATCCATGGATGCCTCCTCCGCTTTCCTACAAGGACGTCTCAAGGAGACAGTGTTCATGGACAGACCAGAAGGCTTCCCAGGAGAATTCCCTCCCAACACAGTCTGGAAGCTGAATCGCCCCGTCTACGGCCTTAAACAAGCCCCTCGCGAATGGCACAACAAGGTGAAAGAAGTCCTCCTCTCCCTGGACTTCCACCCCTCAACTGCTGACCCGACTCTCTTCATCCGTCGTCATTCTGAGCCATTCTACATCCTAGTCTACGTGGATGATTTTATCCTCGTTGCCAAGGACTCGGCCCAAATGACCTCTGTCCAGGCAGCCCTGAGCAAGGCCCTCCAGATGAAAGACCTTGGTGACCTCAAGCACTACCTGGGAATGGAGATCACTCGTGATCGCAAGGCTCGCACCATCTCACTCTCCCAGGAGTTCTACATCGACAATGTGCTCAAGCGGTTTGAGATGGAGCTGTGCACACCTGTTGCCACCCCGCTGCCGCTGCAACACCTCCTTACAGCTCCTGCTGTACCCACACCAGAGGCCTGCTCTGAGCCATACCCGGAACTTGTTGGGTCCCTCATGTACGCCATGATGTGCACCCGACCGGACTTGGCCTACCCAGTCAGTGTTCTCTCTCGTTACGTGGCCCCGGGTCGCTTCACTAATCTTCATTGGAAGGCAGCAAAGCGGGTGCTGCGCTATCTTAAGGGCACAAAGTCCCACGTTCTCACACTCGGTGGGCTCTCCCCTCCTCGCCTGGAAGGTTACACAGACTCCTCCTGGGCTGATGACCAGACCGACCGGCGCTCCTCTCAGGGGTACTGCTTCACCCTCGGGAGCGGAACTGTCAGTTGGCGCTCCACCAGGTCGTCTGCAGTCTCCCTCTCCTCCTGTGAGGCGGAGCTCTACGCAGGCACCATGGCTGCTCAGGAGGCCCGTTGGTTCACCTTCCTACTCCAAGAGCTTGGCTTCCCTCAGTCAGCCCCCACCCTCTGGTGTGACAACCAGAGTACCATCCACATCTCTCAAGACCCTGTGTATCACACCCGCACCAAGCATATTGAACTTCGGCACTTCTTCATTCGTCACCTTGTGCAACAAGAGCAGCTGAAGGTGGAATACGTGGCATCTGACTGCAACCTGGCTGACCTGTTCACCAAGCCCCTTGGGAAGGTTCCCCACCATCGTCTCCTTGGCGCCATGGGGCTCTGCGCTCCTCCTTCTCCGCCATGAGTTCGATTGACGCCTCAGGGGGGGTGTTGGTGTTAGGCCCCAATCTCACATTTTGTACTTGTACTTTTATATCCTAGTTTAGTGTAGTTTGCACTTTGTGTTTGGTTGGGTGTACACCCACATCCCAACCAAACCCAAATGTAATCTCCAAGCAATCTCCAACCCACCAATTGGAGATTGCCTTGGGATTACCCTTGATTCCCTAGGATTGCCTCCTGATTCCCTCCTCATCCCTACCTTGCTCATTCCGGATGTACTTAAAGAGCTTTGAGCTCACTACTATAGTATCGATTCTAAGCTCAAGTTCTGACAGATGTCACTCACCCTTGGTGCAGCTGCGAGGAGCAGGGAGACCGGTGTATAGAGGAGGTCCATGCCACACACATAGTGCGAACCGAGGAGGAGAGACTGACGGGGCTGCATGGAGTGGGGAGGGGAGTAGAAGAGGAGAACACAGGTCGAAGTCAGACAGGAGGGAGAGTAAAGGAGGTCCATCCATGCCACACACGTAGTGCGATCCGAGCAGGAGAGACTGACGGGGCTGTGTTGGGGAGGAGAGGGGAGAAGGCAGAGAGGAAGACAGGAAGGCAGAGAGAAGGGATGAACAGCACGCACGGACAGGGCGAGTAAAGGAGGTCCATCCATGCCACACACGTAGTGCGATCCGTGGCTGCATTTGGGAGGGGGAGGAGGAAGAGGGGAGAAGGGAGGGAAGGGGAGAAGGGAGGGAAGGGGAGAAGGGAGGGAAGGGGATAAGAAGCAAGCAGAGGCAGACGGGTATCAGAGTTCCACAGATTGGGTAGACCACAAACGTAGACGCACCCTGGAGGCGCCTCAAAATATCGGACTTTTGAGGCACCTAAAATTATCAGAGGTCCACGGATTGGGTAGACCACAAACGTAGACGCACCTTGCCATCACCCCCCCACATGATGAGACTCCCGTCCATGGCTGCACTCCACGTGGCCCCGCTGCTGCCGTCCACCCCCACTGCCATCCCCATGCCCACCTTGCCCCATCTTCACTCACCTCACCCCACCGCTCCCCACCTTGCCATCACCCCCCCACATCATGAGACTCCCGTCCATGGCTGCACACCACGTGGCCCCGCTGCTGCCGTCCACCCCCACTGCCAGGATGGTGTGCTGATGCCCGTGGTAGGAGTCGAGGGGGACCAGCATGGCTGATAGGAAGAGACAACGAGCACGGGAGGCAAACACAGGGGGCAGGGAGCAGGGATGAGGTGGGTGATACACGTGCATGGTCGCCCCGCTGCTGCCATCCACCCCCACTGCCAGGATGGTGTGCTGATGCCCATGGTAGGAGTCCATGGGGACCACCATGGCTGTGAGTATGGGGAGACACGTATGAACAAGGCGTGGAGATGGGTTGAAATGATTGTGTGTATGGTCGCTGCTGCCGTCCCACACCCCCCCTGCCAGGATGGTGTGCTGATGCCCGTGGTAGGAGTCGAGGGGGACCAGCATGGCTGATAGGAAGAGACAACGAGCACGGGAGGCAAACACAGGGGGCAGGGAGCAGGGATGAGGTGGGTGATACACGTGCATGGTCGCCCCGCTGCTGCCATCCACCCCCACTGCCAGGATGGTGTGCTGATGCCCGTGGTAGGAGTCGAGGGGGACCAGCATGGCTGATAGGAAGAGACAACGAGCACGGGAGGCAAACACAGGGGGCAGGGAGCAGGGATGAGGTGGGTGATACACGTGCATGGTCGCCCCGCTGCTGCCATCCACCCCCACTGCCAGGATGGTGTGCTGATGCCCATGGTAGGAGTCCATGGGGACCACCATGGCTGTGAGTATGGGGAGACACGTATGAACAAGGCGTGGAGATGGGTTGAAATGATTGTGTGTATGGTCGCTGCTGCCGTCCCACACCCCCCCTGCCAGGATGGTGTGCTGATGCCCGTGGTAGGAGTCGAGCGGGACCAGCATGGCTGATACGAGGAACATGGGAGAGAGCGTGGCAGGCACACACGGGGAGCAAGGCGTGGGGATGAGATGGGTGAGGATGAGTTACTAGGCTCGCTGGTTCGTACCTAGCCAAAGCCCCCCAGCGCTGTCAGGACATGCTCATGCACCGCACCAAACTGCACTGCACCAGGACGTGCTTATACCGGTGCGGTTAGCACGTGCGGATATGATGGTGCGGCTTGGTGAATTGAAATCAGTGCTCGTGCTATAGCACTTCCTTTTTTTTTAGGATTCTCCACAAACATAAGACGACTTTTTAAGACGTGCAGATATGATGGTCTCAAAAGCCCCTTTTTAAAAAAGAATTTACCACAAACATAAGCTGTCACGACGACTTTTGAGGCGCCTCAAAAGACAAACATAAGCTGTCACGACGACTTTTGAGGTGCCTCAAAAGACAAACATAAGCTGTCACGACGACTTTTGAGGCGCCTCAAAAGACAAACATAAGCTGTCACGACGACTTTTGAGGCGCCTCAAAAGACAAACATAAGCTGTCACGACGACTTTTGAGGCGCCTCAAAAGACAAACATAAGCTGTCACGACGACTTTTGAGGCGCCTCAAAAGACAAACATAAGCTGTCACGACGACTTTTGAGGCGCCTCAAAAGACAAACATAAGCTGTCACGACGTGCATATATGATGGTGCAGCGTGGTGAATGCAGTGCTCATGCTATAGCAGTCTCTCATATCGTCCGACCGACCTCAGAAACTGACACACAACCTGCCAACAGCAGGACTCGAACTCCTCACCTTTCCTCTGATACCACTTGAACATTCCGGTTTCCGAGCAGCATTCAAAGGTGAGTTCATCAGGCAACATACTTGGGTTGTTGGAGACAGCGGTGGAGTGCGATGGAGAGGAGAGGACTTCATCGCATCAACTAATCATTCATAGACTCAAAAATGACATTTGAGGCACCGCCAAGGAACATACATGGGCTGTTAGAGGGACCGGTGGACTGAGGAGGAGGAAGAGGGGCTGAATGGGATTGACTGATCTGTACTTGACTCGAAAGGGCCTACTGAGTCACAAAGAAACATACTTGGGTTGTTAGACGGAACGGTGGACTGCGATGGAGAGGATTGCATGGGATCTGTTGCCCCGCTGCCCTTCACCTCACCACCTCCTCCTCCTGCTCCTCCTGCTCCTCCTGCTCCTGCTGCTAGTGCGGGTGGTGGTTGTGGCGCCACTGCTGCTGGTGGTGGTGGTGGTGCTGCTGCTGCTGCTGCTGTTGCAGGGAGTGTGGAGGTGGAAGAGGAAGGGGAGGAGCCGGAAAGAAGCATCAGCTGCTGCCGAGCCTGCACCAACTGCTGCTGCAGCTGCTGTTGCACCTGCTGCAGTTGCTGTGGCGGCTGTGGTTGCTGCTGCTGCTGCTGCTGCGCCTGCTGTAGTTGCTGTGGTGGCGGTAACACCTGCTGCTGCTGGGAAGAGGCAGAGAGGTGCTGCAGTTGCTGCTGCACCTGCTGCATCTGCTGCTGTAGCTGCTGCTGTAACTGAAACATCTGCTGCTGCTGCTGCAGCTGGTGCTGCGGTGGCTGCTGCTGCTGCTGCTGCTGTTGCTGCTGCTGTGCTTGCTGTTGCACTGCTTGCAACTGTGACTGCAGCAACTGCTGCTGCTGCAGCAGCTGCAACTGTAACTGCTGTTGTTGCTGCTGTTGTGGCTGCATCAGCTGTTCCCCCCCTCCTCCTCCTCCTGCTGTCGTTGCTCCTACCCCTCCCAAACCTGCCTGCCCCTGCCCCTGCCCCTGCCCCTGCCCCTGCCCCTGCCCCTGCCCCTGCCCCTGCCCCAGCCCCTGCGTTTGCATCTGATGGGTTGTTGACACAGGAGGGTTGAGGGGAGCAGGGGCGGTAACAGCCATAGGGGACTGTGTGGAAGGCTGGGCTAGGGGCAGGGGAGGCTGAGGCGGGGGGAGCGGGGCCTGAGAGGGAGGAAGGGGGGCGTGAGATGGGGGAAGGGGGGCGGAAAGGGGAGCAGGGGAGGATCCTGCTGCTGCCAGAGCGGCTGTAGCGGCAGCACCGGCAGAAAGTGCGGCTGTAGCAGGGGGAATGGCGGGAGGAGCGGCTGTAGCGGCAGGAGCAGGAGAGGTGGCGATTGGGTTGTCTGTCCAACCGAGGCTGTCCCTCACGTAATTGACATCGTAGCTGGATGGAGAGAGGGAGGATGGGAGGGGAGGATGGGAGGGGAGGATGGGAGGGGAGGATGGGAGGGGAGGATGGGAGGGGAGGATGGGAGGGGAGGATGGGAGGGGAGGATGGGAGGGGAGGATGGGAGGGGAGGATGGGAGCGGCAGAGGCGGTGGGTGTTGGTGAGATGGCACTAGTCAAGGCAGGGGTGTCCCTCTTTTGAGAATTCTCAGGGGTGTCCCTCTTTTGAGAATTCTCATAACTGATTCTCAAGGCACGGCTGTCCCTCTTTTGAGAATTCTCATAAGTGATTCTCAAGGCACGGCTGTCCCTCTCACATAACTGACGTGGTAGCTAGCTATTTTCCATGGGGAGGAGAGGCATGTTTGCCCCCCATACTCGATCGACCTACCTACCTACAAATGAGCTCACTACTGCAGCACACACCCCATTGCCTATGTTACTCCTGCCTTTGAGACCGCTCAGAGCTGTGCTAACCCAAATACCCATACCCCCCCTCACCCCCACCCCTTTTCTTCCCTCCCCCTCTCACCACAAAGCCTCTTCCTTGAGTCCCAAAACTGCTTTCCGCAGCTCCTCCAGTTTTGAGTCGACTCAAAACACGATTCAACTCCTCCAGCTTGCCCGGGTGGGTCGCCCTGAGAGCCTTTCCACCCTTCCCTCTCGCCTCTCACCCACCATCTCTCCCCCTCTCACCAGAAAGCCTCTTCCTTGAGTCCCAGGACTGCTTTCCTCAACTCCTCCATTTTTCCCGGGTCGCCCTGAGCCACTAGCTGATTGGATAGGGAAGAAGGGAAGGGGTTGAGTACAAGGAAAGGGAGGGGCAGGAGGGCAGGCAGGTGGGCAGGTGGGCAGGTGGGCGTGTGGGCGGGTGGGCAGGTGGAGATGAGAGAAGCAAAGGGGGTTGCCATTGCAGCAACTCTCGTTTCCTCCATCTTGCCCGGGTCGCCCTGAGCCACGAGCTGATTGGGAAAGGTGAGGGTTTGGACGAGGGTTGGTGGGTGGGCTTGGAAGGAGCACAAGGGGAGTCACTGCAACAGGTTCGTAACTCCTTCATTTTGCCCGGGTCGCCCTGAGCCACGAGCTGATTGGATGGGGAAAGGGCGTGTGTGGAATGGAACGAAAGGCAGGGCTGGGAATCTGGGAAAGGCAGGGCTGGGAATCTGGGAAAGGCAGGGCTGGGAATCTGGGAAAGGCAGGGCTGGGAATCTGGGAAAGGCAGGGCTGGGAATCTGGGAAAGGCAGGGCTGGGAATCTGGGAAAGGCAGGGCTGGGAATCTGGGAAAGGCAGGGCTGGGAATCTGGGAAAGGCAGGGCTGGGAATCTGGGAAAGGCAGGGCTGGGAATCTGGGAAAGGCAGGGCTGGGAATCTGGGAAAGGCAGGGCTGGGAATCTGGGAAAGGCAGGGCTGGGAATCTGGGAAAGGCAGGGCTGGGAAGGAATCTGACTCATCTTTTGACGCACCTCAGAAATCATATTGCCCGCATCGCCCTGAGCTGAGCCCCCATGTGGTGGGGGGGGGGGGAAAGGTGTGTGTGGAATCTAGGGGAAGGCAGGGTTGAACCTTCTAATGCACCTCTCCTCCGCTCCTCCCCAGGCAGCAACTTTTGAGACGTCTCAGAAGTCTGATTGGATGGGGAAAGGCCATGTGTGGAATGTAGGGGAAGGCACGGTTGAGCATGGTGACGGCAGCACAGAGCGGTTGTCTGGCTTGTCCGGCAAGCTTGCATAGCAGAGAGGGATGTTATCTCAAGGGCACATGGAGGGGTGTTAGTCTCACTCTCTAGCCTGCGGGGCGCAGAGCTCCACGGTTTTCCCCAGCATGGTGAGAGCAGCACAGCGGTTGTCCGGCTTGTGCAGCATGCTTGCATAGCAGAGAGGGTTGCGACCTCAAGGGCACAAGGGCGCATGGGAGTCTTACCTGCCTGGGGAGCGCAGAGCTCAACGGTCTTCCCCGGCATGGTCACTGCGGCGCAGCGGTTGCCTGGCTTGCCCGGCTTGCATGGCGGTTCGTGGTTGTGTGGCTGTGCTGCTGCTGCTGCGAGCACATGGGATGAGGGAGTGTTAGTCTCACCTGGGGAGCGCAGAGCTCGACAGTCTTCCCCAGCATGGTCACTGCAGCACAGCGGTTGTCTGGCTTGCGCAGCAATGTGAGGATGGTGGTGACGGCGCCTGGAGGGGTTGCATATGTGGTGGGATGGTGGGAAGGAAGAGGAAGTGAGGTGACAGGGACGGGAAGTTGAGGCCTGATTGCAGTGCAGCGGTTGTCTGGCTTGTGCAGCAATGTGAGGATGGTGGTGACGGCACCTGGTGGGATTGCATTGCATACATGATGAAGGGCACTTTTGAGTCGACTCACTGCATTGCATACAGGTTGTTGTCTCTTGCAAGAGACAAGCCTTGACAAGCTTCGATGGGGTGGTATATCATGCAGGCAGTTTCTCGTGTCAACTGCGTGGCATACCACCATCCATCAGGATACAGTCCGCAATCACGCCAACTCACCCTGAATGCCAGCTCACCTTGAATGCCAGCTCACCTTGAATGCCAGCTCACCTTGAATGCCAGCTCACCCTGAATGCCAGCTCACCCTGAATGGAGACAAACTCGAGGTGCACGAGGGCGGCAAACGCCTCAGCATGGACAAAGAACTCCGCCCGGCTGGCGTCGGGCGGCCGCTTTATCGTCAGGAACTTGAGGATCTGTGGATTGCGTTTGTGGCAGATGAGGAAGAGGATATAGGCGTCAACATTCAAGGTACATATTCCATGTTTGGAACAAGAGAATTCGTGACTTGCTGGCAGCATAATGTGTCACTTTTGAGAATTCCCAAAGGTGACCCAAGCATAGTGGCTGTCAGCATGACACGGAACTGGACAGCACCCACCAGCACGTACCTTGGGGATAAGCGTGTGACCTTTGTAGCATCAGGTAACCTGCTGGCCACGCACGTATGTGCGTGTATGTACTCTCTATACACTCTGTAGTGTACAGCACCCACCAGCACCCACCAGCACCCACCAGCACCCACCAGCACCCACCAGCACCCACCAGCCCCTACCTTGGGGATAAGCGTGTCTCTCATCTTGACCTTTGCCGTGTCGGGTAACCTGCCAGCCACACAAAGACAGGCAGGCAGAAGGGGAATGAAGCACGGTAGCACACCGTGGTGCTGGCCGATAAGCAGGAACTCACCTGCTTTCGCAGCAGAAAAGTACTACTTTTTGAATTACACAAGATCATCATTTTGAGGGTGCGTGCACACAGCATCAGCATGCATGTGTGCTCTAGGTGGTTAGTATCTATCAGAGAGAACGCTCACTCACACACCCACCGCACTAAGCGCGCTCACCATGGCACGGGGCGCATGAAGGGCACGACGCTGAGCTTCTGAGCGAGCAGGTCCGTCTCAAACACCACGTGCAGGAACGCTGCCACACTCACCGCACTGCACTCACTCACCGCACACTCTCACCCCACTCACACACTTACCTGGGCACTAGACGCATGAAGGGCACAACGCTGAGCTTCTGAGCGAGCGTGCAGGCATACATGCATGCATCTACTGGTGACTGGTTGTCCTTAGGAGATAGAGTAACCCCTCACTCACTCACTCCCACACTCACCGTGGCACGAGGCGCATGAAGGGAACAACACTAATCTTCTGAGCAAGCAGGTCCGTCTCAAACACCACGTGGAGGAATGCTGCCACACTCACCGCACTGCACTCACTCACCGCACACTCTCACCCCACTAACGCACTTACCTGGGCACTAGACGCATGAAGGGCACAACGCTGATCTTCTGAGCCAGCAGGTCTGTTTCAAACACCACGTGCAGGAACGCTGCCACGAACGCATCCAGGGGGTCCTGTGGGGCAGTGGTAACCAGACAGGCAGAGTTTTGGGTTTTGCATTGAATTGAAGCACATGTGAGTTTTTGTGTCAAACACCACGTGCAGGAATGCCATGACAGAAGCATCCAGGAGCCTTGTGGTAACCAGGCATGCAATATTTGAGGCAGAGTATTTAAAGGCAGAGTTCAGAATTTGAAGGTTTAAGGTTACTAGTTGAAGCAATAATGAATGGTGGAGATCAGATCTCAGTCACCGAGTTGGGGGATTCTGTGATTCTGGGTTTGGGGTTGAAGCATTGAATGCTGCAACGAAAGTGTAGAAGGAATGGGACGACACGCAAACGCATGGGGGATGTAATTGATGCCTCCCGTTATAATCACAAGCACAAACCTCATTGGCCTTCGCCCCATCCGCGGCCCCTTCTTTCTCTTCCCCGTTTCCGCTTCCGCTCTTGCTCCCGCCCCCACTTCCCCGCACGCCCCCTTTCTCCCCTGATTCCCCCACTCCTGCGCCTTCCCCCAGCAGCGTGCGCACGTCCCGCGCAACCGAATCAAGTTCCGCGGGGTCGCGCAGGCGCGCAATCAGCGCCTCGAACACGGGGCGCAAATTGCGCGCGCGCACATCGTCCGCAATTGCCCTGGCCAGGGTGGGTGCGCGGGGGAGTCCGGGGGAAGATGGGCGGGGATATGGTCAAACGGAGGAGGCGTAGTTGTCATGCCACTGCGCGCCAAGCCGCGGAGGAAAGGGGGCGGGTGGAAATGGGGACAGGCACGCGGGGAAGGTGCGAAATGACGCATTGGCGTGCCAAATGCTCTGGCGCTACAAGGTGGTGGCTCGTGCTGCCACGTGTTGGATGCGTGCGCTGCCACGTGGCATCACTCACCTGAGGGCGCTGAATAGATGCGTCGCGAGAGGAATCTCCTCCGCACTCACATCCACCTCTATCACTATCCTCATCTTGCCCCTCGGTAATGTCACTACTGGGAGACCCACACGGACCGCAGCTACTACCCAAATCAGACAATGTTTCGAAATAAGATGTCCTCAGCGACCGCAGCAGGCAACCATTGCAGTAACTGCTTTTATGACCTAGCTGCAATGCAAAAGTTGATCAGCCACAGAAGCTAAGTGGGGCGATAGAAGCAGCAAATTAGCTGTGGTTTTGCCATTTGTTTGCCTAGGGGGGTGCTTGACATTATCTGGCTCAATTGAGTGCACTTCGTTACAAGACAAACTGTTCCTACACTTTGATGAACGTATGCTTGCGTCTTCGCAATGACTGTATTTTGTTCCAAGCTGCTTGGCATGACGTGGGTGATGAGCAGGATGTTACTGGTGGATAACATCGCCAGCCGCATGGCATGCAGCCATTGGTGTTTATCCGCACGCGATAGCACGTGGTAGCTGGATTCACTCGGCCGCATGCGATATTTCCGTCCAATCCGTGGCGGACTTTGGCGCGAGTCGCATTTAAACGGCATGTGGCAGGGCAGCCCCTTTCTTTTACTTTTCCACGATATGTATCTGGGAAGCAGGATATGTCTTATTGAACAACTTATAAGCTCTATATTCCTCTGCACCAACTTTCCACACGAAGAAATAACAAAATTATGCCAGAAAATTCTTTATTCGGGAAACTAAAATAATAATCCCTGAGGTTCACGTCGACATGCAGCCCTGTTTCCAAGGTTCCCGTGCCTTGAGAAAAGGCGGGAACGAGATCTGCGTCAGCCAATCGGCAAGTACTGCGACCTCCGCCACCTCCTCCTTTCCCCTCCCCCTCCCCCCCACCTCCCCAGCCTCTCCCCTCCTCCCCGCGCTTTTCCCATCGCTTCCCGATTGTCTGTATGTCTGACCAGATGTCGGTCCCCCAGGAGGGCGTGGCGAGAGCCAGATTCTCTCGGAAACCCATCGAACCGTTCTGTCTTAAACACAGCCCGTCTTAAAATGCAGGAAACCGACTCAACCGCACTGAAGTAGAGGCTTATGACACACCACAAGAGGAAGCAGACTTGAGCAGTGAGCAGAAATTGCAGAATCTAATAGAGGCAGGCTGCCAGTGACCAGCATCTAGAATTTTCATCTTCTGGCATTGTGCTGGTTTCTGCATTGCTTGGCATAGGGCAATTAGGGGCATTGCTCTGGTGCGATTTCTTTTCTACCGTGAGATTCTATAATTCCCGTGCTAATTGCTTGAATCGCCATGGCTACGTTACGCGTTGCGTCGTCCGCAACAGCTGCAGTCGGAGTATCACCGTGTGCAGTTTCAACGACCAAGCAACAGCACGCTCAAATTTCCTTCCTAAGCACGGTGAAAAATGCTCCACTAAGAGCTGTTTCTTGTCGAAGCGCAAAAGCTCTCCCCTCGCCAGCATTGCGACCCACAGCAGCCTTCTCTGACAATTCTTCTTCCACCTCGCCGCATCGCCATTCGCTCTTACGCTCGGAAGCAGCGATCGAGAATCGCGAGGCTTCGTGCAGCAAGCGAGCAGCGGTTGTGTCGCGGAGCGGCGATGGCGAAACGGCGGAAGCAGGCGATGCGAAGAGCCAGCTGACGAAAACGATTCAGCTGGGATCGCTGTTCGGGCTGTGGTACCTCTTTAACATCTACTTCAACATTTACAACAAGCAGGTATGGTCTGTCGCGAAATTGTGCCTAATGTCGTTTACAGCGAGGCGATTTATCTAATTGTGGAAATGTGATATCCGTTTCCAATTCACAACACTCGCGATTTTTATATCTGTTGAATTGACATCTTCACAAACCGATTAACTACAATGTGGATTCGGAGATGTCGGATTGTGCTTTTGGGAGACGAAGAGGCTGGATGCAGATTATTGAGTTTATAAAATTGCTCCGAGGCAGTCAAATTTTCACAATATGTCGCCACTCAGTCCGTGTACGGGTGTTTTACTTTAGCAATTTCGGTGGCGTCCGTGATACAACCACATTATTCCGCGTCTCTTTTATCCCTGGTCTTACCATGTCTCCCTCATCTACAAGCTCTGAATGCCGTGGCAGGCCATTTCAACCTTTTAATTCAAGTAATGATAATGACGTGCCGCGTTTCTCCTCCCATGCAAGTTCTCAAGGTGTTCCCGTACCCGCTCACCATCACGACAGTGCAATTCTCTCAAAGTGGCTTAAGAGTCTGCTAATTCCATGTCACACGGCCTTACCGCTCTTCTCCCCATTTGCAGATGCTCAAGGTGTTCCCGTACCCGCTGACGATCACGGCGGTGCAATTCGCTATTAGCGTCGTTTGAAGAAGACGCTTATTTTTGTACCATACCGCTTTCCGTCTCCCGTGCAGGTGCTCAAGGTGTTCCCGTACCCGCTCACCATCACGACGGTGCAATTCGCCATCGGCGCCATTGTGGTGCTGCTGTCGTGGGCCACCAACATCGTCAAGCGCCCCACCATCTCCAAAGCGCAGGTGAGAAACACGCGCGCGCAGGGGAGACGCTCGCGCAGGGGTGACAGGTGACCTTTGGGTGGGCTTGAAAGGCACGGCGATCGTGATGCTGCTGTCGTGGGCCACCAACATCGTCAAGCGTCCAACCATCTCCAAAGCGCAGGTAAGAGAGGTGCAAGACAACACGCCTCCTCATCCCTTCTCTCCTCATCGCCTCGTCCCGTAACTACTCGTCCCATCTGCTTACATGGCAGTTCCGTTTTTCCCGCTATTCCATACCCCCTTCAATCCCCTCCCTCCCTACTCCCCAGCTGCTGGCCATCCGGCCTCTAGCCCTGGTTCACACCATGGGCAACGCCTTCGCCAATGTCAGTCTGGGCAAGGTCGCCGTGTGTTGTTCACTCATCCCCCCCATCCCCCCCATCCCTCCCATCCTCATCACCCCATGTACCCCCAGCTGCTGGCCATCCTGCCTCTAGCCCTGGTCCACACCATGGGCAACGTCTTCACCATCTCCCGTCCCCGTCAGCCTGGCTCTCTGGGCCGTGTCGTCCACTCATCTCCCGTCCCCGTCACCCCATACACCCGATATACCCCTTCTTGATTCCCCCCTACCCCGCAGCTGCTGGCCATCCTCCCTCTCGCCCTCGTGCACACCATGGGCAACGCCTTCACCAATGTCAGCCTGGGCAAGGTGGCCGTGTCGTTCACGCACACCATCAAGGCGCTCGAGCCCTTCTTCTCCGTCACGCTCTCCGCTCTGCTCTTAGGCGAGGTGAGTCGCTGGAGGGGGGGAGGCGAAGGGAATTGAGCAAGGATGGTTGAAAGGGTGGGGGGGATGCGCGAGTGTGGGCAAGGAGGCAAGGTGGCCGTGTCGTTCTCGCACTCCATCAAGGCGCTCGGGCCTTGATGGTGTGCGTGAACTCTTCTCCGTCACTCTTTCCGCACTGCTGCTCGGCGAGGTGAGTTGGGGAAAAGGGAAGGGGGGCGGAAGAATGGAAAAAAGGGGGGGGGGGGGGGGAGGGGGGGAGTCGGGGGAAGGTGGGCGGGAAATCGGGGCAGGATTGGGTGAGTGTGGGTAAGGTGGCATGTGGTGGCGCTTTAGAAATCTCAAAACGTCTCGAACCTTCCTTTACCGCTCCCCACTCCTCTTCACACCCCTCCAGCAACCCACGCTGCCTGTCATCCTCGCGGTCATGCCCATCGTGGGAGGCGTGGCACTTAGAGTTCTCAACATTCTCAAACCTCCCTTTACCCCTCCCCACTCCTCTCCACCCCTCCAGCAACCCACGCTGCCAGTCATCCTCGCCCTCATGCCCATTGTGGGAGGTGTGGCGCTCGCCTCTGCCACCGAAGCTTCCTTCAACTGGTGTGTACCGTGTGGTGCAGTTCGGTGCAGTTTGGTGCTGTGCTGTGCTGTGCTGTGCTGTGCTGTGCTGAGCCATGTCGTGCCATGCATGATGGGTTGTGCCAGTTTTCCTCTCTCGCTTCAGCCACCAAAGCTTCCTTCAACTGGTATGTGCCGTGGCATGCCATGCTGTGCCATGCCATGCTGAGCTGTTCCGTTTACCTGCTTCCTTTCTCGCCTCGGTCACCGAACCCTCCTTCAATTGGTATGTGTGCCCCCTGCGCCCCCTTCCACAATTCCTCTTCTGCGCATCTCTCTGTGTGCAGGGCGGGCTTCCTGTCCGCCATGGCATCGAACCTCTCCTTGTATCCAAACACCCTACGGACCCCTTTGCCCCCTTCTGCACCCCTCTGCACCCCTCTGCATCTCTCTGTGTGCAGGGCGGGCTTCCTGTCCGCCATGGCATCGAACCTCTCCTTGTATCCAAACACCCTACGGACCCCTTTGCCCCCTTCTGCACCCCTCTGCATCTCTCTGTGCATGCAGGGCGGGCTTCCTGTCGGCCATGGCGTCCAACCTCACCTTCCAGTCGCGAAACGTGCTCAGCAAGAAGCTCATGATCAAGAAAGACGTGAGATTCGAAGCCCGTCCCTTCCAGAGCCTCTCCTCTCCTTGTCAACGTGTCAGTCCGTGCCCTTGTCAGCGTGTCAGTCCGCGCCCTTGTCAGCGTGTCAGTCCGTGCCCTTGTCAGCGTGTCAGTCCGTGCCCTTGTCAGCGTGTCAGTCCGTGCCCTTGTCAGCGTGTCAGTCCGTGCCCTTGTCAGCGTGTCAGTCTGTGCCCTTGTCAGCGTGTCAGTCCGTGCCCTTGTCAGCGTGTCAGTCCGTGCCCTTGTCAGCGTGTCAGTCCGTGCCCTTGTCAGCGTGTCAGTCCGTGCCCATGTTAGCCTGTCAGTCCGTGCCCTGTGAGAGCCCCCTTTCTTCGTTTGAGTTGACTCAAAAGAAAGACGTGAGATTCGAAGCCCCCTTTCTTCCCATGTCCTCCTTGTGCCCTTGTCCTTGTCTTGTCTTGCCCTTGCCAGCCTGTCACTCCTTGCCCTTGCCAGCCTGTCACTCCGTGCCCTTGCCAGCCTGTCACTCCTTGCCCTTGCCAGCCTGTCACTCCTTGCCCCCGTAGCCCTGTCGCTCCCATTCTTCCTGCTGCTGCCTTCGCTTTCTAATGCTGTTCCCCGTCCATGCCCTTGCGTTCCCATCACCCCCAACCCCTTCCCCCCCACCAGTCATCGCCCGACAACATAAACCTCTTCTTCATCACCATCCTCTCCTCCCTGCTGCTGCTATTCTTCAAGCCCCGCTCTTCAATACCCCCTCCCCCTCCCCCCCTCCCACTAGTCATCGCTCGACAACATCAACCTCTTCTTCATCACCATCCTCTCATTCTCGTTCCTTCTTTTCCCTGTTTCCCTCTCCCCACCTTCCCTTTCCTCTCCTCTACCGTCTCCCCCCCATCCTCCTACCAGGCCTCGCTCGACAACATAAACCTCTTCTCCATCATCAACATCCTCTCCTTCCTGCTGCTGCTGCTCTTTCTTCAAGCGCCTCTCTACTACTCCTTCCCCCCCCCCTCCCCCCTCCCCCCCCCACGCCCCTCCCACCAGGCCTCGCTCGACAACATAAACCTCTTCTCCATCATCACCATCCTCTCCTTCTTCCTGCTGCTGCCCGTCGCGCTTCTCACAGAGGGCGTCAAGTTCAGCCCCACGCTGCTGCAGGCGCAGGTATGACGACTCGGGCTTCAAGTGAGGACACTGCGTCAGGCTTTAAGTCTACTCTGGTGTAATTCCACTATGGTAACGCTGCTCAGGATCGGCATCAATTCAGCCCGCTGCTGCTGCTGGCCTACATATGGCCCAACATGGCTCTAGCTTCACAAGACTTTTGAGGCGCCTCAAAAGTCGTTTCACATGATATGGCACCAGATTTGAAGTGATGTGGCTCAGTATGAAAGTGTTTACTTCTTATGGGTCTAGATTTTACATTGATGCGTTCTTCCTTCCCATGTTGCTCCCTTGTTGCACTCCGCCCTGTATAACACGTTCTTGTCTTACCTCCTCCCTTCTTCCTCTCTTCCGTTCCTTTCCCTTCTCTTCTTCCTTCACTCCCTCCCACCCTGGCAAGGAGTGGACGTGCAAAGGCTGCTGTGAGGCCGCCTACTAACATGTCATGTGCTCTCCCTTCCCTTCGTTCTCCTGCCCCTTCCTTCCCCTCCCCTGCTTCCCCTGCTTCCACCCTGGCAGGGAGTGGACGTGCAAAGGCTGCTGGTCCGATCCACGCTCGCTGCTCTCTGCTTCCACGCCTACCAGCAGGTACGGGTGCTTGCTCTCACACAACCTCACCCCACCCTCCCCCCTCTTTCTCTCTCTCTCTCTCTCTCTCTCTCTCTCTCTCTCTCTCTCTCTCTCTCTCTCTCTCTCTCTCTCTCTCTCCCTTGCTGTCCTACCTGATCTTGCAGCTTTTCTCCCCACTCACGCACTCTCTGCCTCCCATTCTTGTGCCAACTTGCCTGCCCGTCCTCCTTTCCCTCCCCACCACCCCCTTCCTCCATTCTTTCCTCCAGATGTCCCAATTGATTTTGCAGTCTGTTTCCCAAGTTACCCTCTCTCTTCTTTCCATGCCTGTGTTGACTTGCCTTCGCCTCCCCCCTTCCAAGGAACACCACTTATTGCGTGGTGGTAGACATTGCGTGGCTGCAGAATTCGGAATTGTTAGCAGTTTGTTAAGAAAATGAAACAGGCTTGTAAAAACCTGTGTTTCTTTCCATGCCTGTGTTGACTTGCCTTCCCCTCCCCCCTTCCTCCCTCCTCCCTCCTCCCTCCTCCCTCCTCCAGGTCTCCTACATGATTCTCCAGCGTGTCTCTGTCACCCACTCCCTGCCTTCCATTCTTTTGCTGATCCCCCCCAACACCCCCTCCACCCACCCCCCCTCTCCCCCCTTCCCCCCCGTCTCTCTCCTCCAGGTCTCCTACATGATTCTGCAGCGTGTCTCCCCAGTCACCCACTCGGTCGGCAACTGCGTTAAGAGGGTCATCGTTATAGTCACATCCGTGCTCTTTTTCCGAACCCCCGTCTCCCCAATTAACGCCGTCGGTACGTGCTTCTTATAAGCCAGCATTCAATGTAGTCACATTCGTGCTCTTGTTCGGAACCCCCGTCTCCCCGATCGACGCCGTCGGTACGTGCTTAACAACCTCCTATATGCCAGCGCTCGTTGCAGTCACACCTGTGTAGATCATTGTCATAGTCACACCCATGCTCATTTTTCCTAACTCCTGCCTCGCACGATCTATGCTGTCGGTAATTCCTTGCAAGAGGGCAAGCAAAACCTTTGTTATAGTCACGTCTTCGTCCGGAGGGACTTTCTCAGAGTCACATCTATGTTCCTCTTCTGCACCCTCATCCACCCAATCAACGCCATTTGTATGTGCATGCAAGAGGGTATACAAGCCGCATTCTAGCCGTGTGTCTTGCAGTCACTTGACACTTTCAAATGGATCTGTTCCAATGTTCTCTTTCCCCCCCTATCTTGCTGCATGTAGGTACTGCGATTGCTCTGGGTGGTGTGTTTGCATATTCTCGTGCCAAGTCTTCCAAGCCGAAGACTGCCTAGAGTCATTTGGCTGGAGTCTCAACAAAAACCTAGGTCGTCCCTCTTTGAGAAGTAGTGCTTGGAAGTTGTAGCTGCTGCTAGTAAGTAAAGACACCTTGGTATGTAAAAGTGAGTGACGCCCTTAGGCGTTTCTCCATTAGTCGCCATCTTCAGTGTCATATGCAAAGTTACTTGTGCATGTATCAGTTCCTACTTTTGCAGTTAACGCACCCGCTGAGCAACTTTTAAAGGCAAGGCGGATCGTCAAACTGGCAACATGTGGAACAAAACAGCAGAAGCTACCTCGCAGCAGAGTACAACAAAAGCTGACACCCTTCATTACTACGCAAAATAGGAGACGTGTTACTTATGTTATAATTACAAGCCGTTGTTTGCCCGTGGCGCGAGCGTTGATGACGCCCCCGAAATGCAGTGCTCGTTCAATACCCAAAATGTTCATCAAGTATGTGGAACTCAAATGGGCATCGTGTGTACACCCAGATACGGTGTGTGTACGCCATACAATTCTAGACAACCCCGAGTTTCGTAAACCTGACATCACAACCCTGTTTTACTGTAGCGGGCCTTCGACAAACCGCTGGTTTCAGCCCTCGACTGACACCTGTAGGAACTCCTGGTGTCAACTGCCAGGCGGACACTCCCACAAACTGAACTGAAAGGGACCCCACCTGGTCCTAATTGGGAGAGTCTTCCACCTGAGATATAACCAAGAACCATGTTCGTCCTCTTGTGATGACAGGATGCGGTGGTGGGCGGCCAAGCTGCTCAAATATCAGGGGGTGAGGTTCGGTTCGGTTTGAGGGAGATACTCGATGCAGTGCGTGAGACTTGTCTGGTTTGGCTAGAATCCAGCGAGCAGTTGATGGGGGAACGACATTAGAAAGCTCTGATAACCCTTGCTTGAGATGGAGAGATACCAGGAACTTTTGTTTACGGAGAGAGTGCTATCTGCTACACGGGTTGCTTGAGATGGAGAGATAGCCCGTGTAGTTCAGTTTCGCGAACGCCTCACAGTGACGTGGCCCGGGTTACTGTAGAAATCGGTGGGGCATTTTCCATCCTGGCCCTCCCTAACCTTGTCTGGAGCTAAACCAGGGTGTTGAAATTGCAAGGCCGGGCGGATTTTGAAGAGTGGGGGTATGGATTGTTTACACCCTTGTCGGACCATTTGTTTTCAACCTGAGTCGACCTTTCTGTGGGGTTCAGCGCATTGGATCCAGCTTGCGGTGCGGAATTGGACCCAGATCAAAACAAAAGTCGTGAATATTGTCGCTTCATCCCATAGTGCTTCTTGGCGCGACGTGGTGCCCCACTCTCGTCACAACTTTGACATTGGGGTCTGGTCTGGTCTGGTTTCATTGACATTTTAGGGTTCACCTGGCGAAAGTATGTTTTCTCCACACCTGCCTCCTTTGGGTTACATCCGACAGAATGTGTAAAAATGCTCTACATGCATGTAGCATTTTCCGGGTGATTCCATCACATATTTCCACGAAATTTTCGTAGATTAATGATCGTTGGGTTGAATGACTTGAAGAACACTTCGTGTTGGCTAGGAGGATATGTGGGCTTGGGTTGCCTGGATTTTCCAACCAAAACGCCGGAGTTATAGCCTGAATGTGTGTCCTGCGACGCGGCTTCCGAGTCGCGATTCTCAACCGCATCGTTTCCTCTTCCAGGCTATCACCTTCATCACTTACTCCTGATGCCTGTTTGAGCCCCTCCCGGTTGCCTTGTGAAGGGGGCATATAAGCAGTCACGAGGCATTTCGGTTAATTTCGTCAATTCGCAGCTAGCTAAAAAGGATTCGCATGTGCTTATATACAATATATGTTACCATATTTGACTTCAGTCTATTCTGCTTGACTTCGGTCTGTTCGTTACTATTGGTTGAACACCACGCGACGCGCTTGTAATGTAGGTGCATGAAGCTGGGGAAACAACCTCGGGTGCAGCGTATCCATCCGGCGCAAAGCAAATTCGCGTGCATGGGGTGAGCATCAGGTGTACCTAAAATTTGAACATTAAGGAGTGCAAAGCTCAGTTCAAACCATCCTGATCGAGTTCCCTCCACATTCCAAGATCCGTCCACCAAAGGAGCTCCTTCCCTCCGCCATGGCTTCCAACTCGGTGTTTGCTGCTGTGCTCCTTCTCGCCCTCTCCCTTCCTTTCGTTCTTGCTGGAAACGCTGCTGGCGCGGAGCAATCGTCCCAGTCCAAGTACGAGTATGACGCCAACGGCAACATTATCCTGTCTCCTGCTGGAAACAACAACCAGAACGGCAACGGGCAGGGCACATCCGCGGACGTGATCGATTGGTACAACGACCAGGAGTACCCGACCTGCCCGCTTAAAGCCTGCCCGCCTTTCAAGCACTATTGCTCGGGCGGCATGTGCAACGACACGGCCGGCATCCTCGGCCGCTGGAGGGTGAGCGTCAACTCTCGAATTCCAGATTTGCCAATTCCGATCCGGATTTGCGAATTACAATTCCGTCGATCCGCTCTCTTCACACATCTCAGCTCGTTTTGTAATGTCTTGTTTCTCGCGTCACGGCAATATATAAAATCCCCCAATTTCCGGTTGTGTTTGCCTGCCCTCTGACCGTCACCGCGCCGCGCAGCTCCCCGAGCAGTCGTCGCGCGTGTGCCCGCCGGGGCGCGCCAACCCGAAGCCGAACAACGAGTGGTGCATCGGGGAGCTCACGCCGTCGCAGTGCTGCAAGGCTTGCTCCGACAGCAAGGAGCCGTGTGCCGTGTGGCAGCACTACATTGGGTGAGTAAATTCGCGGGTTTCTTCTGCGGCTCGGCCTGTTACTACGACGGCGGATGCGGGATCAGCATCGATGCGGTCGCAATTCTCTTGCTCTGCTGTGCGCGCTGTTTCGTGGCAACCAAATTAATATTTCTCTACTCCTCGCTTTGTCGCTTTTCTTAATTTGTCCTTTTGCAGAACCGTGAACCCGTCCGGCAAGTGCCTTAAGTGCGGTATCTGCTGGCTGTACCCGCCCGGCACGGCGCCGCGGTGCGAGACGCAGCTGGACAACAACAACGGCTACCGCATCAAGTACAACTGCTCGCGCATCGGCGGCAGCTGCCCCTACACCAAGAACGACCCGCACTTCCAGGGCGCGCAGGGCACGCGCTTCGAGTTCAACGGCGCTCCGGAGAAGACTTTCTGTCTGCTGACGGACCGCAATGTGCACGTGAACATGCAGATGCGCGGATACTACGACACGCGCACCGTCGGCGCGACGGTTCTGCGCAACGGCAAGGCTGTGCGCACGTGGATCCGCGCGCTCGGCTTCGTGTGGCGCGCGGCGGCTGGGGAGGCAGAGCACAAGTTCCGCCTGGTTGCGCGCGCGGGGAAGCAGCAGGAGCGTGGGGACGGGTTTCTGGAGCTGGCGGAGATCGACGGGAAGGCCCTTCCGCGTATGACCAAGGAAGGGGAGACTCTCTCCCTCCCCGGAAGCCTCGCCTTCACTTATGTCGGGGTCGAGACCGGCGGGTTCGTGAAGGACGTGTACCGTGTGACTATTGCGGGGCTTCTGGATATGGAGATCAAGCTGCGCGTCGCGCACCCTCTGCTGCAAACACCTGACGACGCTGAGGCGCACATCAACGTGGCGTTCGATGGCGTGGAGGCGACGGAGCAGGTCCACGGGATCATCGGGCAGACGTACCGCCAGGGCCGCGAGAAGCGCGCGATGGACTACAACACGCTCGCGCACGCGCTCGGGCACCCCGTCGCGGCGGACGCGGCGGAGGGCGCGGGATTCCTGGACGGCAAGACCGGCGACTATGAGTCGTCGTCTGTCCTCGCTGTGGATTGCAGATTCTCTGCGTTCAGCGGGAAGGCGCTGCCGCTGACAGAGTAGAATGAACTAAACTGACTGCTAAAATCTGATGGTTCGGTCTCCTCGTTGTATTGTATGCCGTCACCGTCTTGGTCTCCTCGTTTTGCTTCTCCTGGTGGGCTGACTCTCTCTCTTTCGGTGGGCTGCTCTTCTTCCTCCTCATCACTGCTGCTCTTCCCTCGGTGGGCTGCGTCCGTTCTCCTCTTCCCGGCGAACTGCATCCAACCTGCGCTAATCGATCGGCTGGTTCCGTTCGCCACTTTCCTGGTGGGCTGTGTCTTCTGCTGTGAGCTGGTTTTCCTGCCTATTTTGAAGGAAACCCGTTGTGTGGTAACTGATTCTGCCTCATTGTTGGGTCACCTTGATAAGCAATAAAACGTCCCGCTTCTCAGCGAATTGTCGTATATCTCAGGGTCCGCTGAATTCTCGACAGATCAACCAATCTGGAATGGGAACTCACTCTCCGAATAGGGTACCATGAAATGTCTGGGGAGGGAAGAGAGGAAACGAGATCAGAGAAGGTTGGAGCTGCTTATTCTATGGCTCCGTTCAGAGAGAGAGACTCGCAACCTTGCTCACCGTTCAGGTCACGTCCTAGCATCACCCAGCTGTACCTGTCCCCCCAAGTTTAGAGGTCGGGCCGATTTTCAGTTGCCTCCCTCTGCAATTTTGCATTCAATTTCGCCCGCTTCGCATCCCAACTTTCGTGTCGCGTTCACAGGAGTGTGCTTGCGACACGGAAACTGCAGCCCATCCACAAAGGCTGCAAATTGGCACACAAACACACATCAAAACCAGGTTACTCACACGAACTTTGAGTAGACTCCATGGTAACAGACGTTAGCTTTCGTCAACATTTTCACCTCGAAGCAGATCTGCTAAGGCAAGTTGTCGCGATTGCATCCCTCTCCTTCAGTTTCGCGAAACTGGTATAGCTCGTTGTTTCCTTCGCGCAGGGCGTTGTGTTGCTGGATGCTTCACACGAATTCAATTCGCGAAAAACCTCGGGATTGCTCTTGTAACAGGGCTGAACACCTTTCAGTCAGATGCAAAAAGAACTGCTACTTGATCGTGCCACCTTGCAACACCTACTGAAACCGCATTACCTCTGTGGAAGCAGCGGTTTACACTGCACAGCTGATCGAATTACAGGACGACAATATTTAGTCAGCATTGTGTGATTCCCCATCACCGTCCCCATCGCATCCAACGCCTCTCCAAACGTTTCGTAAATTACGTGTCATGAGCTTATTTGTTTTGAGCAAACCGTTCGCGACCTGCCATGCGCGAGCTGCTGTGTGCCATGCCGCAAGACTCGCCGTGAATTACGCCGTGGAATGCGGAAGCGTGGTGACGAGCAATGTCAGGGTCTGCAGCAGCAGCGCTAGCCGCGACATTAGCAGCAGCAGCAGCAACAACAACAGCAGCAGAAGCACGGGCGGTAGCAGAACGGGGAGCGGCAGCTGCAGCAACATCGCCAGTACCAGGAGAAACAGCAGCGGTAGCAGCAGCAGGAGCAGCAGAACAGGACAAGGTACCAGTGGCAAGAGCAGGCGGCAGACAGAACGCCTTGAAACTGATCCGGGAGTCACTTCCTCCAGATCTACCTCCCCCTCCACTGAATCCGCCTCCTTTCCACCACAGTCCCCTTCCGCCCCCGCGCCGCCCTCCTTCCCGCTCTTCTCTTTCCCCTTGCCTGCGGTGCTCCCACCGCCGCCCGCCCTCCCCCACCTGCTTCCCAGGCAGCAGCAGCGCCTGGCGCTCTACCTCGACCTGCTTTTGGACTGGAACCAGGTGATTTTCAGGTGGCCTTTCAGGTGCTTTAAGCAGCAATCGCTCGCTTTTTTTGCTGGTTCGAAGCGGGTCTGCAAGGGACAGGATTTGAAGCTGGGGTAAGGGTTTAAATTCAGGGTTTTCAGTATAAGGTTTTGGGTTTATACATGGAATGAGCGCTTTCCCCCTCCACTCATCCCTCATTCTGCCGATCCCCACCCCCCCGCCCCTCCCCCCCTCCCCCCAATCAGCGTATGAACCTGACAGCAGTGTCCAGTGTCCACTCGCGCAGAGGCAGAGCAACGCCGCATTGCTGACTCCCTCTCACGTATCCCTGTTATCCTGGCATTCACCGTATCATCGCGCTTCCTCTGATTCTCTCCCCACGCGCTTCCGATCCCTCCTAGCAGCGTATGAACCTGACAGCAGTCACTAGTCGCGCAGAAGCAGAGCAGCGGCACATAGCCGACTCGCTCTCGATCATCCTCACCTCACTTCCCCTTCTTTGCTTGCTTCTCTTCAACCCCACACACCCCTCCATCAGCGCATGAACCTGACAGCAGTGACCAGTCGCGCAGAGGCAGAGCAACGCCACATAGCCGACTCTCTCTCACTCATCCCTGCCATCCTGGCCCTCACCGCACCATCGCTCCCAACCGCGCCAATTGCTGCCTCACCCACTCCTACCGCACCTCTCCCTACCGAACCACTCGCTACCGCCCCAATTCCCACTGATTCACCTTCTACCGTACCTCTCCCCACTGAGAGCCCATTGGACTCTCCATCTGCTACAGCACCCCCTGCCATGCCACATGGCGCGCTGCGATTGGTGGATGTGGGCACAGGAGCGGGGCTACCAGGGATCGTGCTAGCAGTGGCCCAGCCCACGTGGCAAGTCACTCTGGTGGAATCTCTAAACAAGAGATGCGATTTCCTGTCGCATGTGGTGCAGCGGTTGGGACTCAATAATGTGCAAGTGGTGTGTGGGAGAGCAGAGGTGAGAGTGTGGGGGGGCTCACTTCCTAGCAGTTAATGTCACACCACAGCACAGCCCCCACATCGCAGCCCCCACATCGCAGCCCCCGTGGCACATCACTCTGGCTGAATAATGTGCAAGTGGTGTGTGGGAGAGCAGAGGTGAGTGCGTGTGCGCGGGCACTGTTCCTGGCAGTTGAAGTTACAGCACAGCACAGCACAGCACACATGGCACATCACGCTGGTTGAATCTCTAAACAAGAGATGCGAGTTTCTCTCGCATGTGGTGTGGCAAATGGGGCTGCGGAACGGAACGTGCGAGTGGTGTGTGGGAGAGCAGAGGTAATGTTTTTCTATCAAGTCAAGATTCATATGAATCTAAAACTTAAGTGCCCTCTTGAGGCTCTAAATTGATCGTGTGTCACCCCGTCCACCTCTCTCCTTTCAATTGTGCTGCTACAGGAGGTGGGGAGGGACCCCGACCACAGGGAGGCGTACGACTTGGCTGTAGCGCGGGCTGTAGCAGAGATGAGAGTGCTCAGTGAGTCAAGAGCTGCTAGAGGGCTGTAGCATGGGCTGTAGCATGGGCTGTAGCGCGGGCTGTAGCGGAGATGAGAGTACTCAGTGAGTTGACACATTGAGGCGGGTGACATGGGAGGGAGGCGGCTACTCTGGTCCATATCTTGAAACAACCACCTGACTCTGTTTCAGCAGTCATTTAGTCTGTTGTTTTCACCTGAACAACCACCTGGCACTTTCCTCCCTCTTTCCCCTCCCCTGCTTTCAGATGAGCTCTGTCTGCCTCTGGTTCGAGTGGGAGGTGCCTTTATAGCCGCCAAGGGCCCCAACCCTCAGGTTAGCTCTCAGGTGCCGCTTCAGGTGCCTGGATAGGAAAGGATCCAGCCCTCAGGGTAGCTGTCGGGTGCCCTTCAGGTGCTTAGGTTCCAAGGGTCTCAACCCTCAGGTTCATCTTCAGGTGGCATCTCAGGTGCTGCGAGAAGGTTATATTTATTCAGGTGACTTTTGAGGCGCCTCAAAAGTCGACTTTTGAGTTTTGAGGCGCCTCAAAGGTGGCACCTCAGGTGCTGCCAGAGGTTTTATTTATTCAGTTGCCCTTGTTATTTGCTCTGTGCCCCTGACAGGATGAGGGGGCAGCAGCATCCAACTCTGCTTCCTGCAGCAGCATTCGTCCTGCATGCCTTACAGCCTTGAGGCATCTCAGAACCCACCCCTGTGCATTCACATTCACTGCTTTCCTCTGTGCCCCTGACAGGATGAGGTGGCAGCAGCATCCAACTCTGCTTCCCTGCTTGGTGCACAACTTGCTACAACTTATGAAGGTGCGTATTACCGCATAATAAACTTATCATTCGCACTTTATTTTTTTTCAACAGCTTCCATGCTCGGTGCACAACTCGCTTGAACCTATGAAGGTCAGTTCTTACTACTTACCACGTGGTAACCTCTTTCACACTTCGGTTTTGAGAACTGCCAAGAGCTCCCTTGCTCAGTGCTCAACTCGCTTGAATCTATGAGGGTGGGTACTTACTGCTGACCATATGGTCCCTCGCACTTTGCTTTTGGGATTTCACAGAAGCTTTCCTGCTCACTGCTGCAAACGCTCGAATCTCTGTGCGAGGGGGGGTTACGACCGGAAAATTCTTTGGTCCGTTGTTGCCTGTTTCTCAGCTGTCTTTCTATCGCGTTTTGAGGCGCCTCGGAACCAGTGCTGCACACGCTCGAATCTCTGAGGATGGGTGGGTACTTACTGCTTACCACATGGTCCCCCGCACTTTGCATTTGGGAATGTACAGAAGCTTCCCTGCTCAGTGCTGCACACGCCTGAACCTCACAGCAGCTCATTGATCTCTCCTCCCCCTCTCCTCCCCCTCTCCTCCCCCTCTCATCACGTCCAGCGCACAGCAGTCATCTACGCTATTGCTCCTCCCCTCACCTTCCTTCCCCTCTCCTCCCCTCACCCCACCACAGTTGCATCTTCAAACACCAACGGCCAGCGCACAGCAGTCGTTTAGAAGAAGGTTGATCCAAGTGCTTTCAAGCACTGAAAGGCTTGTCAAAGCACCCATTGCTCTCCTCCTCTGAAAGGCTTGTCAAAGCACCCATTGCTCTACTCCTCTGAAAAGCCTGTCAAAGCACCCATTGCTCTCCTCCTCTGAAAAGCCTGTCAAAGCACCCATTGCTCTCCTCCTCTGAAAAGCCTGTCAAAGCACCCATTGCTCTCCTCCTCTGAAAAGCCTGTCAAAGCACCCATTGCTCTCCTCCTCTGAAAAGCCTGTCAAAGCACCCATTGCTCCACTCCTCTGAAAGGCTTGTCAAAGCACCCATTGCTCTACTCCTCTGAAAAGCCTGTCAAAGCACCCATTGCTCTCCTCCTCTGAAAAGCCTGTCAAAGCACCCATTGCTCTCCTCCTCTGAAAAGCCTGTCAAAGCACCCATTGCTCTCCTCCTCTGAAAAGCCTGTCAAAGCACCCATTGTTCTCCTCCTCTGAAAAGCCTGTCAAAGCACCCATTGCTCTCCTCCTCTGAAAAGCCTGTCAAAGCACCCATTGCTCTACTCCTCTGAAAGGCTTGTCAAAGCACCCATTGCTCTACTCCTCTGAAAAGCCTGTCAAAGCACCCATTGCTCTCCTCCTCTGAAAAGCCTGTCAAAGCACCCATTGCTCTCCTCCTCTGAAAGGCTTGTCAAAGCACCCATTGCTCTCCTCCTCTGAAAGGCTTGTCAAAGCACCCATTGCTCTACTCCTCTGAAAAGCCTGTCAAAGCACCCATTGCTCTCCTCCTCTGAAAAGCCTGTCAAAGCACCCATTGCTCTCCTCCTCTGAAAAGCCTGTCAAAGCACCCATTGCTCTCCTCCTCTGAAAAGCCTGTCAAAGCACCCATTGCTCTCCTCCTCTGAAAAGCCTGTCAAAGCACCCATTGCTCCACTCCTCTGAAAGGCTTGTCAAAGCACCCATTGCTCTACTCCTCTGAAAAGCCTGTCAAAGCACCCATTGCTCTCCTCCTCTGAAAAGCCTGTCAAAGCACCCATTGCTCTCCTCCTCTGAAAAGCCTGTCAAAGCACCCATTGCTCTCCTCCTCTGAAAAGCCTGTCAAAGCACCCATTGTTCTCCTCCTCTGAAAAGCCTGTCAAAGCACCCATTGCTCTCCTCCTCTGAAAAGCCTGTCAAAGCACCCATTGCTCTACTCCTCTGAAAGGCTTGTCAAAGCACCCATTGCTCTACTCCTCTGAAAAGCCTGTCAAAGCACCCATTGCTCTCCTCCTCTGAAAAGCCTGTCAAAGCACCCATTGCTCTCCTCCTCTGAAAGGCTTGTCAAAGCACCCATTGCTCTCCTCCTCTGAAAGGCTTGTCAAAGCACCCATTGCTCTACTCCTCTGAAAAGCCTGTCAAAGCACCCATTGCTCTCCTCCTCTGAAAAGCCTGTCAAAGCACCCATTGCTCTCCTCCTCTGAAAAGCCTGTCAAAGCACCCATTGCTCTCCTCCTCTGAAAAGCCTGTCAAAGCACCCATTGCTCTCCTCCTCTGAAAAGCCTGTCAAAGCACCCATTGCTCCACTCCTCTGAAAGGCTTGTCAAAGCACCCATTGCTCTCCTCCTCTGAAAGGCTTGTCAAAGCACCCATTGCTCTACTCCTCTGAAAAGCCTGTCAAAGCACCCATTGCTCTCCTCCTCTGAAAAGCCTGTCAAAGCACCCATTGCTCTCCTCCTCTGAAAAGCCTGTCAAAGCACCCATTGCTCTCCTCCTCTGAAAAGCCTGTCAAAGCACCCATTGCTCTCCTCCTCTGAAAAGCCTGTCAAAGCACCCATTGTTCTCCTCCTCTGAAAAGCATGTCAAAGCACCCATTGCTCTCCTCCTCTGAAAAGCCTGTCAAAGCACCCATTGCTCTACTCCTCTGAAAGGCTTGTCAAAGCACCCATTGCTCTACTCCTCTGAAAAGCCTGTCAAAGCACCCATTGCTCTCCTCCTCTGAAAAGCCTGTCAAAGCACCCATTGCTCTCCTCCTCTGAAAAGCCTGTCAAAGCACCCATTGCTCTCCTCCTCTGAAAAGCCTGTCAAAGCACCCATTGCTCTACTCCTCTGAAAGGCTTGTCAAAGCACCCATTGCTCTACTCCTCTGAAAAGCCTGTCAAAGCACCCATTGCTCTACTCCTCTGAAAAGCCTGTCAAAGCACCCATTGCTCTCCTCCTCTGAAAGGCTTGTCAAAGCACCCATTGCTCTACTCCTCTGAAAAGCCTGTCAAAGCACCCATTGCTCTACTCCTCTGAAAAGCCTGTCAAAGCACCCATTGCTCTCCTCCTCTGAAAGGCTTGTCAAAGCACCCATTGCTCTACTCCTCTGAAAAGCCTGTCAAAGCACCCATTGCTCTCCTCCTCTGAAAGGCTTGTCAAAGCACCCATTGCTCTCCTCCTCTGAAAGGCTTGTCAAAGCACCCATTGCTCTACTCCTCTGAAAAGCCTGTCAAAGCACCCATTGCTCTCCTCCTCTGAAAAGCCTGTCAAAGCACCCATTGCTCTCCTCCTCTGAAAAGCCTGTCAAAGCACCCATTGCTCTCCTCCTCTGAAAAGCCTGTCAAAGCACCCATTGCTCTCCTCCTCTGAAAAGCCTGTCAAAGCACCCATTGCTCCACTCCTCTGAAAGGCTTGTCAAAGCACCCATTGCTCTACTCCTCTGAAAAGCCTGTCAAAGCACCCATTGCTCTCCTCCTCTGAAAAGCCTGTCAAAGCACCCATTGCTCTCCTCCTCTGAAAAGCCTGTCAAAGCACCCATTGCTCTCCTCCTCTGAAAAGCCTGTCAAAGCACCCATTGTTCTCCTCCTCTGAAAAGCCTGTCAAAGCACCCATTGCTCTCCTCCTCTGAAAAGCCTGTCAAAGCACCCATTGCTCTACTCCTCTGAAAGGCTTGTCAAAGCACCCATTGCTCTACTCCTCTGAAAAGCCTGTCAAAGCACCCATTGCTCTCCTCCTCTGAAAAGCCTGTCAAAGCACCCATTGCTCTCCTCCTCTGAAAGGCTTGTCAAAGCACCCATTGCTCTCCTCCTCTGAAAGGCTTGTCAAAGCACCCATTGCTCTACTCCTCTGAAAAGCCTGTCAAAGCACCCATTGCTCTCCTCCTCTGAAAAGCCTGTCAAAGCACCCATTGCTCTCCTCCTCTGAAAAGCCTGTCAAAGCACCCATTGCTCTCCTCCTCTGAAAAGCCTGTCAAAGCACCCATTGCTCTCCTCCTCTGAAAAGCCTGTCAAAGCACCCATTGCTCCACTCCTCTGAAAGGCTTGTCAAAGCACCCATTGCTCTACTCCTCTGAAAAGCCTGTCAAAGCACCCATTGCTCTCCTCCTCTGAAAAGCCTGTCAAAGCACCCATTGCTCTCCTCCTCTGAAAAGCCTGTCAAAGCACCCATTGCTCTCCTCCTCTGAAAAGCCTGTCAAAGCACCCATTGTTCTCCTCCTCTGAAAAGCCTGTCAAAGCACCCATTGCTCTCCTCCTCTGAAAAGCCTGTCAAAGCACCCATTGCTCTACTCCTCTGAAAGGCTTGTCAAAGCACCCATTGCTCTACTCCTCTGAAAAGCCTGTCAAAGCACCCATTGCTCTCCTCCTCTGAAAAGCCTGTCAAAGCACCCATTGCTCTCCTCCTCTGAAAAGCCTGTCAAAGCACCCATTGCTCTCCTCCTCTGAAAAGCCTGTCAAAGCACCCATTGCTCTACTCCTCTGAAAGGCTTGTCAAAGCACCCATTGCTCTACTCCTCTGAAAAGCCTGTCAAAGCACCCATTGCTCTACTCCTCTGAAAAGCCTGTCAAAGCACCCATTGCTCTCCTCCTCTGAAAGGCTTGTCAAAGCACCCATTGCTCTACTCCTCTGAAAAGCCTGTCAAAGCACCCATTGCTCTACTCCTCTGAAAAGCCTGTCAAAGCACCCATTGCTCTCCTCCTCTGAAAGGCTTGTCAAAGCACCCATTGCTCTCCTCCTCTGAAAGGCTTGTCAAAGCACCCATTGCTCTACTCCTCTGAAAAGCCTGTCAAAGCACCCATTGCTCTCCTCCTCTGAAAAGCCTGTCAAAGCACCCATTGCTCTCCTCCTCTGAAAAGCCTGTCAAAGCACCCATTGCTCTCCTCCTCTGAAAAGCCTGTCAAAGCACCCATTGCTCTCCTCCTCTGAAAAGCCTGTCAAAGCACCCATTGCTCCACTCCTCTGAAAGGCTTGTCAAAGCACCCATTGCTCTACTCCTCTGAAAAGCCTGTCAAAGCACCCATTGCTCTCCTCCTCTGAAAAGCCTGTCAAAGCACCCATTGCTCTCCTCCTCTGAAAAGCCTGTCAAAGCACCCATTGCTCTCCTCCTCTGAAAAGCCTGTCAAAGCACCCATTGCTCTCCTCCTCTGAAAAGCCTGTCAAAGCACCCATTGCTCTCCTCCTCTGAAAAGCCTGTCAAAGCACCCATTGCTCTACTCCTCTGAAAGGCTTGTCAAAGCACCCATTGCTCTACTCCTCTGAAAAGCCTGTCAAAGCACCCATTGCTCTCCTCCTCTGAAAAGCCTGTCAAAGCACCCATTGCTCTCCTCCTCTGAAAAGCCTGTCAAAGCACCCATTGCTCTCCTCCTCTGAAAAGCCTGTCAAAGCACCCATTGCTCTACTCCTCTGAAAGGCTTGTCAAAGCACCCATTGCTCTACTCCTCTGAAAAGCCTGTCAAAGCACCCATTGCTCTACTCCTCTGAAAAGCCTGTCAAAGCACCCATTGCTCTCCTCCTCTGAAAGGCTTGTCAAAGCACCCATTGCTCTACTCCTCTGAAAAGCCTGTCAAAGCACCCATTGCTCTACTCCTCTGAAAAGCCTGTCAAAGCACCCATTGCTCTCCTCCTCTGAAAAGCCTGTCAATGCACCCATTGCTCTACTCCTCTGAAAAGCCTGTCAAAGCACCCATTGCTCTACTCCTCTGAAAGGCTTGTCAAAGCACCCATTGCTCTCCTCCTCTGAAAAGCCTGTCAATGCACCCATTGCTCTACTCCTCTGAAAAGCCTGTCAAAGCACCCATTGCTCTACTCCTCTGAAAGGCTTGTCAAAGCACCCATTGCTCTCCTCCTCTGAAAAGCCTGTCAAAGCACCCATTGCTCTACTCCTCTGAAAAGCCTGTCAAAGCACCCATTGCTCTACTCCTCTGAAAGGCTTGTCAAAGCACCCATTGCTCTACTCCTCTGAAAGGCTTGTCAAAGCACCCATTGCTCTACTCCTCTGAAAGGCTTGTCAAAGCACCCATTGCTCTACTCCTCTGAAAGGCTTGTCAAAGCACCCATTGCTCTACTCCTCTGAAAGGCTTGTCAAAGCACTCATTGCTCCTCTCCCCTCCCTATCCCTCACCCCGTCACAGTTGCATCGTCAAACGCCAATGGCCAGCACATAGCAGTCATTTACAGGAAGCTTGACTCAACAGCATCCAAGCACTTCAAGTGCTGCCAAAGTGGTTATTGCTCTACTCCTCTTTCTTCCCTTCTCCTCCCCTCTCCTCCCCTCACCCCACCACAGTGGCATCGTCAAACACCAACGGCCAGCACACAGCGATCGTTTACAAGAAGGTTGAACCAACAGCATCCAAGCTCTGAAAGGCCTGTCAATGCACTCATTGCTCTCCTCCCCTCCCTGTCCCTCACCCCACAACAGTTGCATCGTCAAACACCAACGGCCAGCGCACAGCAGTGATCTACAAGAAGGTTGATCCAACAGCATCCAAGTACCCAAGGCGACCTGGAATGCCCTCCAAACGGCCGCTGTGATTCAGAGAGTCATTGAATGAAACGATGATGCCATTTCATTGTGAAAACGGCTTCTCGCGTCTTGAATATGCTTACCTGCAAGCCAGCGCAGTTGTCATTCAGAAGAAGCTTGAGCCAACTGCTTCTAAGTACCCAAGGCGCCCAGGAATGCCCTCCAAGCAACCGCTCTGATTCGTGCCCTGCCGTGCCGTCTCATTGCCCCACAGCACTTTCACGCCTTCTGAATAAGGTTGTTTCATAACTAACGCATGCACAGCAGTCATTCACTAGAAGGTTGACCCAACAGTTTCCAAGTACCCAAGGCGACCACTGTGATTCGCCGTGGAAAAAAACAGGCAAATTCAGGAAGAAGTATGGTACTGCCTGTGCTGTAGATGACTCTCTGTTTAGGACGCGGTGCAAGTGCAAATATCGCAGGATCGTCTGCAAATATCGAGCCCCACAATCGAGTGGGCAGATCGAATGGCGAAACGTGGCGACCGCGACGTTGTGACGATCGCCCCTTTAGAATTGACAGATCTTCCACGATCAGAGAACAGTCGCAATCGCACACTAAACAGAGAATTTGGCAAAAAGCATACTGTAGCATAGTTACAGCGTAGTAAATAGGGTATCCGACACGCACATCGATCGCGACTGACGATCGATCGTCTACTCTTACCGCGCCCTAAACACTGTACGAAAGATGCTAAGGAAGGACACCTCCCTTCCGCGGATCGGTGGAGAATCAGTGGTTAACACCGAACTTGAGGCATCAGAATTTGTAAACTCCAGGAAAGCACAAACAAGAGTGCATGCATTCGCTAAAAGGAAATGTAAAGTTCCACAGCAGACACCTATAGGTAGAAAGAAACAAGAGTCGTTGACTAATTGCTACACGTTTTTTACAACTAGGTCTACAGGAACACAACAGTCAATATAAATGTTCTATGTACGCTTATGTCAGGGGCAGAATGAGCAGCTGAGCCCAAAACCAAGCAGCCAGAAGCTGCCAAACAAAAAAAAAACAAAGGCAAGTAACCAAGCAAAAGTGCTATCAGAAGCACCTCTCTCTCTACCGTAGCATAACCTGTAGCATTATTTAGCGCTGCCAGTTAATAGCTATAAGCAGCTGAAACCCATCCCGTGGTGTACCTGTATATGTGGATGCTATGGCAACTTTCCACAGCAGAGCACTCTACTACTAGTACTACTGTGGAAAGCTTGACTGCTGGTAACAACGGTCCTATCAGCTATGGCTAGTAACGCTGTATGAGAGGCTGAGTGGCTAGTCAAGAATCGAAGTGCCTGTGTGTGCCCGTGCGCCTGTGTGTGCCTTGAGGTCGTTTTTGAGGCACCTCAAAAACGACCTCGGTGCGCCTGTGTGTGCCGGTGCGCCTGTGTGTGGCCGTGCGCCTGTGTGGGGATGTGCGCCCGTGTGCCCACGCGCTAGTGCCTGCATGCACCATAGTGCCTATGTGTGCCCGTGCGCTGGTGCCTGCATGCACCATAGTGCCTATGTGTGCCCGTGCGCTGGTGCCTGCATGCACCATAGTGCCTATGTGTGCCTGTGCGCTGGTGCCTGCATGCACCATAGTGCCTATGTGTGCCTGTGCGCTGGTGCCTGCATGCACCATAGTGCCCTTCTCCTCCAACGTACCGTAGTCCTTCCTTGCTCTATCTATTGCTAACTTATGTTGCAACAGCTGCTCCCTGCTGCACTTCCTCTCCACACCTCTGGCGATCACAGATGCTTAGTTCTCCCCAGGTGCCTTCTCCCCAGGTGCCTTCTCCCCAGGTGCCTTCTCCCCAGGTGCCTTCTCCCCAGGTGCCTTCTCCTCAAGTGCCTTATCCTCAGGTGCCTTCACCCCAGGAGCCTTCACCTCGGGTGCCTTCTCCTCAGGTGCCTTCTCCTCAGGTGCCTTCTCCCCAGGTGCCTTCACCCCAGGTGCCTTCTCCTCAGGTGCCTTCACCCCAGTAGCCTTCTCCTCAGGTGCCTTCTCCTCGGGTGCCTTCTCCTCAGGTGCCTTCTCCTCAGGTGCCTTCTCCTCAGGTGCCTTCTCCTCAGGTGCCTTCTCCTCAGGTGCCTTCTCCTTAGGTGCCTTCTCCCCAGGTGCCTTCACCCCAGGAGCCTTCTCCTCGGGTGCCTTCTCCTCAGGTGCCTTCTCCTCAGGTGCCTTCACCTCAGGTGCCTTCTCCTCAGGTGCCATCACCCCAGGAGACTTCTTCTCAGGTGCCTTCTCCTCGGGTGCCTTCTCTTCAGGTGCCTTCTCCTCAGGTGCCTTTTCCTCAGGTACCTTTCTCTCAGGTGCCTTCCCCTCAGGTGCCTTTTCCTCAGGTGCCTTTTCCTCAGGTGCCTTCTCCTCGGGTGCCTTCTCTTCAGGTGCCTTCTCCCCAGGTGCCTTCTCCCCAGGTGCCTTCCCCTCAGGTACATTTCTCTCAGGTGCCTTTTCCTCAGGTGCCTTTTCCTCAGGTGACTTTACAGGCTCAGCTTGCTCCACAGGTTCAGGTGGTTGCACAGACTCAGGAGATTCTTCAGGTAGAATCTCAGGTGTCTTACCCTCGTCAGCTTCAGGTGTTTTCTCAGGAGTAGATGCGCAAGAGGACTGAGCTTCTTTCTCCTGCACCAGCTGCTTTACAGGCACCGACTGAGTCTCAGGCTCAGGTCGTTCCTCAGGTGCAGGTGTCTTTTCAGGTGCCTGTCCAGAGACCTTCTCCTTACCAGCTGCATCTTCCCTCCCAACTGCAGGTGCTCCTTCAGGTGCTTTTTCAGGTGCTTTCTCAGATGCACTCTCCTCCACACTTCCAGCAACCTCCTCAGCTCCTCCTCCTCTGACCATAACAATCGCCTCCGCACCTGCAGGCCTTTTCTCAGATGAACCCGCCTGTTCTGCGCACAGTTGTGACGACCCTTCCTTCCCAGCTTCTTCCTTTTCACCTCCAACCGTTGTCGCACCTCCTGCTGCTGCTGTTTCTGTTCCGCCCTGCACTGCTGCAACCACCTTTCCAGCACCAGGCACCGAACCTGCCTGTTTGAAGGGCAGCTGAGAAGCACCCTCCCCCTTCCCTGCTTCTCCCTTTGCACCTCCAGCCTCCTTCACAGGTCCAATCACCACATCAGATGCAACCACCTTTGCAGCTGCATGCTCCTTTTCAGATGAACCTGCCAGTTTTGAGGCAAGTTGTTTTGCACCCTCCCCCTTCCCTGCTTCTCCCTTCGCACCTTCAGCCTCCTTCACAGCTCCAATCACCACATCAAATGCAACCACCATCCCCGCTGTAGATAAACTTGCCTGTTCTGATTCCAGCTGTTCCGCACCTTTCTTCCCTCCTGCTTCTCCCTTCACAACCCCAACCACCTTCTCTGGTCCAACCACTTTCCCATCTCCACCTTCTCCCGCTGCTGCAACCAGCTTCCCACCTACAGGCTCTTCCGCTAATAAGCCCGCCTGGTCTGAATCAGGCTGTATAGCACCTTCCTTCCCTACTTCTCCCTTCTCCCCTCCATCCATCCTCGCACCTCCAACCACCTTCGCACCTCCTGCTGCTGCTTCTGTTCCCCCTTCTCGCACTGCTGCAACCAGCTTCCCACCTACAGGCTCTTCCGCTGATGAACCCGCCTGTTCTGGGTCAGGCTGTTTCGCACTTTCCTCTGCTGCTTCTCTCCTCACACCTCCAGCCATCTTCGCGGCTTCATCCACTCGCACTGCTGCAGTCATCTGGTTCCCACCAGACCCCTTCTCAGATGAACCTGCCTGTTCAGTATCAAGCTGCGCCGCACCCTCCTTCCCTGCTTCTCCCTTCACACCTCCAGCCTCGTTCACAGCTTCAATCACCGCATCAGATGCAGCCATCTTGCTACCGGTATACTCCTTTTCAGATGAACCCGCCTGTTCTGAGTCCAGCTGTGCCGCACCCTCCTTCCCTGCTTCTCCCTTCACACCAGCAGTAGGAGCTAGAGCGGGGAGAGCAGAAGCAGCAGGGAGCGCAAAAGCAGAAGGTGGAGCAGAAGTAGAAGCAGCAGGAGCAGGAGCAGGAGCAGGAGCAGGAGCAGGAGCAGGAGCAGGAGCAGGAGCAGGAGCAGGAGCAAGAGCAGGAGCAGGAGCAGGAGCAGGAGCAGGAGCAGAAGCAGAAGCAGCAGGTGCAGGAGCAGGAGCAGGAGCGGGAGCAGGAGCAGAAGCAGGAGCAGGAGCAGGAGCAGCAGGAGCAGCAGGAGCAGCAGGAGGAGCAGACACAGCAGGCGGAGCAGAACCAGCAGGCGGAGCAGACACAGCAGCGGGAGCGGCAGGGGCAGAACCAGAGACGGCAACAGGGGCAGAAATAGAAGCAGGAGAAGACGCAGCAGCAGAAGCAGAAGCAGCAGCAGGAGCAAGAGCAGCAGCTTCAGGTGAAGGAGCAGCAGCAGCCGGCGCAGCAGCAGGAGGGGCAGCAGGAGGGGCAGCAGGAGGGGCAGCAAGAGGGGCAGCAAGAGGGGCAGCAGGAGGGGCTGCAGGAGGAGCAGCCGGAGGGGCTGCAGGAGGGGTAGTAGGAGGGGCAGCAGGAGGGGCAGCAGGAGGGGCAGCAGGAGGGGCAGCAGGAGGAGCAGCAGGAGGGGCAGCAGGAGAGGCAGCAGGAGGAGCAGCAGGAGGGGCAGCAGGAGGGGCAGCAGGAGAGGCAGCAGGAGGAGCAGCAGGAGGGGCAGCAGGAGCAGCAGGAGGGGCAGCAGGAGGAGCAGCAGGAGGAGCAGCAGGAGGGGCAGCAGGAGAGGCAGCAGGAGGAGCAGCAGGAGGGGCAGCAGGAGGGGCAGCAGGAGGGGCAGCAGGAGGAGCAGCAGGAGGGGCAGCAGGAGAGGCAGCAGGAGGAGCAGCAGGAGGGGCAGCAGGAGGGGCAGCAGGAGGAGCAGCAGGAGGGGCAGCAGGAGGGGCAGCAGGAGAGGCAGCAGGAGGAGCAGCAGGAGGGGCAGCAGGAGGGGCAGCAGGAGGGGCAGCAGGAGGAGCAGCAGGAGGGGCAGCAGGAGGAGCAGCAGGAGGGGCAGCAGGAGGAGCAGCAGGAGGGGCAGCAGGAGAGGCAGCAGGAGGAGCAGCAGGAGGGGCAGCAGGAGGGGCAGCAGGAGGGGCAGCAGGAGGAGCAGCAGGAGGAGCAGCAGGAGGGGCAGCAGGAGAGGCAGCAGGAGGAGCAGCAGGAGGGGCAGCAGGAGGGGCAGCAGGAGGGGCAGCAGGAGGAGCAGCAGGAGGGGCAGCAGGAGAGGCAGCAGGAGGAGCAGCAGGAGGGGCAGCAGGAGGGGCAGCAGGAGGAGCAGCAGGAGGGGCAGCAGGAGGGGCAGCAGGAGAGGCAGCAGGAGGAGCAGCAGGAGGGGCAGCAGGAGGGGCAGCAGGAGGGGCAGCAGGAGGAGCAGCAGGAGGGGCAGCAGGAGGAGCAGCAGGAGGGGCAGCAGGAGGAGCAGCAGGAGGGGCAGCAGGAGAGGCAGCAGGAGGAGCAGCAGGAGGGGCAGCAGGAGGGGCAGCAGGAGGGGCAGCAGGAGGGGCAGCAGGAGGAGCAGCAGGAGGGGCAGCAGGAGGAGCAGCAGGAGGGGCAGCAGGAGGAGCAGCAGGAGGGGCAGAAGCACCGAAGCCTAAACCCATCTCCATCAACCATCTCTGCTCCCTGGCCCCCTCCACCTCTGCTGCCTTCCCTTCTCCTTCCAACTCTTTTTCTCCCAATCCTTCCCTTCCCTCCACCTCCATTTCTACCTCTCCCTTGCTTCCATCCTCCACCTCTTTCAGCTCCTCTCCCTCCCTTCTCTCCTCCACTTGGCTCTCTTCCCTTCCTTTCTCTTCCTTCCCTGCAACACTCTCCTTCCCGCTGATCTTCTCAGATTCTTTTGTCCCTGCTGGTGCTCCCACTTTTCCCTCAGATAATCCCTTTTCCTTCTTCTCCCCTATGTTCTCCTTCCCTCCCTTCTTCTCTCTTTCCTCCCCCCCTGCTTTTGCCTCCCTTGTTTTCTCCTCCCCTACATTCTCCTTCCCTTCCCCCTTCTCCTCCTCCCCTGCTTTCACCCCCCGTGTTTTCACCTGGCCTGACTCCTCCCCACCTGCTTTCACCCCCCGTGTTTTCACCTGGCCTGACTCCTCCCCCCCTGCTTTCGCCTCCCCTTTTTTCTCCTGCCCGGTTTTCTCCTCCCTTGTTTCCTCCTCCCCTGCTTTCCTCCCCCCCGTCTTCCCCCCCACCGGAACCCCCACCCGTGCAACAACCACACCACCCCCACCAGCACTTCCCTCCAAAGCCTCAGGAATCTCTGTCCCTGAATCACAGGCTGCCCTCTCCCCAACCACCTGCTCCTTCTCCCCCCCTGCTTTCACTTCCTCCGCCCCAGCCCGTGCAACCATCACACTATCCCCGCCGATTCTCTCCACTAGAGCCTCAGGAAACTCTTGCCCTGAATCCCTCGCTGCCCTCTCCCCACCCACCTGCTCCTTCTCCTCCCCAAAAACCACCCTCTCAACCTGAGAAGCCTCCACAGTACCCCCTCTCCCCTCTTTGCTCTCTCCTCCCTCTCTCCTCTCCCCACTCTCTTCCACTTCTCTTCTCTCCCCACCCTCTCCCCCGCTCTCTTCTTCAGTCCTATCCGGACCTTCTCCCCCCGTTTTATTCTCCCCAACTTCAACCCAATCTTTACTCTTCCCGCTCTCTTCCCGCTCTGCCCTCTCTCCACTCTCTTTCCGCTCTGCCCTCTCCCCACTCTCTTTCCCCTCTGTCCTCTCCCCACACTCTTCATCCTCTCTCCTCTTCTCGCCTTCACTCCCCTCTCCCCTCTCCCCAACTCCACTCACCACGACTTTAGTCATTCCATGTTCTCCCTTCTCTTCTCCCTTTCCTTCTCCCTTCACATTTGCATGTACCCTCTCCTCTCCCCCCTCCTCATTTCCTCTCCTCTCTTCCTTTCCTACTGTCTCCTCCTTTTCTCCCTTCTCCTCCTTCCCTAATGTTTCCTCCCCTCCCCTCTCCTTCTTTCCTACTGTCTCCTCCTTCACTCCGCTCTCTTCCTCCCCTCCCCTCCCCTTCTCTCCCTTCTCCTGCTTCTCTTCCCTCTCTTCCTGCGCTTTCCTCTTCTCCTCTCCCCTCTCCGCCTTCCATACTGTTCCATTCTCTTCACTTCCCATTGTCTCTTTTCCAACTGTCTCCTTCTCTATCCTCTCCTCCTTCCCTCCACTCACCTCCTCTATTTTCTCCTCCCTTCCCCCGACCATTCCACATTCCTCCTCCAACCCCTTAGCCGGTTCCTCTAAACCCTTAGCCGGTTCCTCCAACCCCTTAGCCGGTTCCTCCAACCCCTTAGCCGGTTCCTCCAACCCCTTAGCCGGTTCCTCCAACCCCTTAGCCGGTTCCTCCAACCCCTTAGCCAGTTCCTCCAACCCCTTAGCCGGTTCCTCCAACCCCTTAGCCGGTTCCTCCAACCCTTTAGCCGGTTCCTCCAACCCCTTAGCCGGTTCCTCCAACCCCTTAGCTGGTTCCTCCAACCCCTTCGCCGGCTCCTCCAGGTCTAGCCATACTCGCTTCCGTCCTGACAATTTCACTTCCTCAACAGCCTTCTCTGCTACAGCCTTCTCAACAGCCTTCTCTGCTACAGCCTTTTCAACAGCCTTCTCTGCTACAGCCTTTTCAACAGACTTCTCTGCTACAGCCTTTTCAACAAACTTCTCTGCTACAGCCCCCTCTGCAACCTTAGGCCCCTCAACTGCCGTCTCTGCTACAGCCCCCTCTGCAACCTTAGGCCCCTCAACTGCCGTCTCTGCTACAGCCCCCTCTGCAACCTTCTCTGCAACAGCCCCCTCTCCAGTCTGTTCTGCTACAATCTCCTGTGCTACGGCGGCCTGTGGTGCTACAGCCTGTGGTGCTACAGCCTGTGGTGCTACACCCTGTGGTGCTACAGTCTGTGGTGCTACACCCTGTGGTGCTACAGACTGTGGTGCTACACCCTGTGGTGCTACAGACTGTGGTGCTACAGCCTGTGGTGCTACAGTCTGTGGTGCTACACCCTGTGGTGCTACAGTCTGTGGTGCTACACCCTGTGGTGCTACAGACTGTGGTGCTACAGACTGTGGTGCTACAGCCTGTGGTGCTACAGCCTGTGGCGCTACAGCCTGTGGTGCTACAGCCTGTGGCGCTACAGCCTGTGGTGCTACAGCCCGTGGTGCAGCCCCCTGTACCACAACCGCCTGTGCTACAGCCGGTGGTGCTACAGCATGTTGAGCTACAGTATGTGGTGCAACAGCCTGCGGTGCTGCGGCCTGTGATACTACAGCCTGTGGTGCTGCCTGTTGTATTACAGTCTGCAGTGCTACAGCCTCCTCTGCTACAACCAGTGGTGCAACCAGTGGTGCTACAGCCTCCCCTGCAACAGCCTGCTGCGCTACAGCCTGAGACGCCTGGGCAACTGGCAGTGGCCTTTTCAACAACTCAATTTCCATCTCCTTCTCCCTCTCCTCCTTATCCTCCTCCCTCTCCTTCTCCTTCTCCCCCTCCCCTTCCTCCTCTTTCTTCTTCTGTTCCCCTCTCTCCTCTTCCCTCCTCTTCGCATCCACTCTATCCTCCAACCCATCCTCATTGGCCTTTCTCTTGCGCCCCCCCACGCCCGCAGCGCCCACCTGCTCCTGAGCTGCCTGAGGACCCACCTGAGAAACAACCTGAGGAGCATCCACTCCCTCCTCCAACCCATCCTCAGGTGCCTTTCTCTTGCGCCCCCCCTCGCTCGCAGTCCCCACCTGCTCCTGAGATAACCGTGGATCCACCTGAAACGCAACCTGAAAGGCGACGGCGACCTGAGAGCCGACCTGGGGGGCAAGTTGAGGGGCAAGCTGAGGTGTCACTGCGTGCACCGCTGCTACAGTGGCTTCAAAACCAGCCACAGCTTTAGCTGCTGCCAACTGCTTGTGAAGCTCCTTCTGCTCCACCCGCACCGGTGCGTTTCTCTCACAACTGCCCACCGTGCCAGCCGCAGCTTTAGCTCCTTCCAACTGCTTGTGAAGCTCCTTCTGCTCCTCCTGCTCCAGCTGCACCGGTGCGTTTCTCCCATAATTGCCTATCCTGCCAGCAGCAGCACTCCCCACAAGCTCTGCTTTAGTGACCTGCTCTTGCACCTGCGCCTGCCCCTCCTTCTCACTTCCTGCCCCTGCCCCTGCCCCTGCCCCTGCCCCTGCCCCTGCCCCTTCTTCTGCTCCTGCCCCAACTCCTGTCCCTGCCGCTCCTGCCCCTGCTAATCCTGCCACTGCTGCTCCTGTCCCTGCTGCCCCTGTCCCTGCTGCCCCTGCCCCTGTTGCTCCTGCCCCTGCCCCGGCCCCTGCCCCTGCCCCTTTCCCTTCCTCTACCCCAACTCCTTTTCCTGCTGCCCCTGCCCCTGCTGCCTCTGTTTTCGCTGCCCCTGCTCCTGTCTCTACCCCAACTCCTGCCTTCACAGGATTGATCAGCACATTTCTCCCTGCTCCAACCCCAGATGCCACTACAGCACTCCCTGACCCTGCGGTTGCTGCTGCCCCTGCTGCTACACCTGCTGCTGCTGCTGCAGCAGTTGCTGCGGTTACACCCTCTGCTGCAAGCAGGGGCGGTTTTGACCCAGCGGTAGCAGCAGCAGATGGAGCACAAGCAGGGGAGAACACAGGAGCGACAGCAACAGAAGAACCACTAGCTTCAGCCGCTGTTGTTGTGGCTGTTGCAGCAGCAGCAACAGCAGCTGTAGCTATACCAGCTGCAACAGCTGTAGCCATACCAGCAGGAATAGCTGTAGCTGTAGCAGCAACAATACCTAGAGCTTTACCAGCAGCTGTAGCTGATCCAGCAGCAGCAGGGCCAGTGGCAGGAACTCTGTTCGACCCTTCTTCAATCCTCCCTATACCCACCCCACCACCCGAAACCGAATCTTCTCTTGCTGCTGGTGCTACTTTCCCACTCCCCTCCTCTGCCAAAGGCCCTCCCAGCTTCTCCACCTGCTGCTGTCGCTCTCCCCCCTCGACTGCCTTCTCGCCTCCCCCCACCTCCTCTCTTCCTCGTGCTTCCCCTTTCCCCCCCAACTCCCCCTTCCCCTCCGCCTCTCCCTTCCCCTCCGCCTCTCCCTTCCCCCCCACCTCTCCCTTTCTCCTGACCTCTTCCTTTTCCCCCATCTCCCCATGTTCTTCCCCCTCCGCCTCCTCCTCCCCCCCTGCCTCCGGGCCAGCATTTAAATCCAAATCTAGCCATCCCCGTCCCCCTCCTCCTCCTCCCGAATCCCCACCACCGCCCCCTTTCTCCGACTTTTCCTGCGCTTTCGGAGAGGCATTTGGCGAGGTGTTAACTGGGGGAGGTGCTATCTGTTCCTGATTTAGATCGGCGATTAAGGAGGCGGGTTTAGCTGCCACTGCCACTGCCACTGCAGCAGCAGCAGAAGCAGGGGCGGCAGGAATAGAAGGAGAAGCAGCAATGTGAGGAGCAGCAGCAGCAGAAGAAGGAACAGCAGAGGGAGCAGCAAGAGAGGACGTGACAGTAACAGGAGGTGCAGCAACAGGAGGCATGCCCGGAGCAGCAGGAGGGGGCTGATTCATATCATGCCGTGACACAAACGAGGGGAGAGAAGGAATAGAGGGGAGAGACGGGAGAGAGGCGATAGAGGGGAGAGAGGAGGGGAGAGGGGGGTTATGGAGGTCAGGGCCAGACGCAGGGCGGGAAAGAGGGGTTTTTTGCAGGGAGGGGTGGGCGGAGGGGTGGGCGGAGAGGGAGGGGTGGGCGGAGAGGGAAGGGTTTGATCCGCGGCGGGGTATGGGGAAGGCAGCAGAGAGCTGCGGCGCTTGCTGTGGGTGTTGCAGCTGATGCTGCTGATGCTGCTGATGCTGCTGATGCTGCTGATGTTGTGGCTGTGCAAACTTTCCCTGCTGCTGCTGCTGCTGCTGCTGCTGTTGCAGGGATGAGAGTTGCTGCTGAGCCGACTTTCCCTGAGCCCATGGCGACTGTACCCTAGTGGGCTCGTTTCTCGGACCCATAGGCGCTGCCGCTGAAGCAGTGGAAGCAGCAGCAGCAGGAGCAGTGGCGGCACTGCTGCCCTTGCTACCACCAGCAGCAGCACCACCATCACCAGCACCTGCAGCACCACCAGCAGCACCAACACCAGCACCAGCAGCACCGGCGGCGGCGGCGGCGGCAGCTGCAGCAACGGCGGCTAATGGCTGTGTGACACCAGGTATTGGCAGGTGCTGCTTCTGAAGAAGAGCCTGCAGGGACTGGAGGGTACGGGTGGTGGAGTGAGGGGAGTGTGGGGAATGTGTGGGGGAGTGTGGGCGGTGTGGAGAGGGTGTGGGGAGTGATTTTTTAGTCGACACTAAAAAGACACCTGGCATTGGCAGGAGCTGCTTCTGGAGTAGAGCCTGTAGGGACTGGCGGGGACGGATGGAGTGCAGGGAGTGTGGGGAGTGTTGCAGCGATTAAGAGCGTGTGGGGGGACAGGGATCGAGGGAAACCTGGCATTGGCAGGAGCTGCTTCTGAAGTAGGGCCTGTAGGGACTGGCGGGACGGGTGGAGCGCAGGGGGTGTGGGGAGTGTGGGGAGGGGTGGTAATTACAAGAGTGTGGGGAGGGGTGGTAATTACAAGAGTGTGGGGAGGGGTGGTAATTACAAGAGTGTGGGGAGGGGTGGTAATTACAAGAGTGTGGGGAGGGGTGGTAATTACAAGAGTGTGGGGAGGGGTGGTAATTACAAGAGTGTGGGGAGGGGTGGTAATTACAAGAGTGTGGCGAGGGGTGGTAATTACAAGAGTGTGGGGAGGGGCAAGAGGCAGGACGAACAGCAGGAGCAGCGGAACGTGCTTGACCAATGTGTGCATCCAGTCACTCCAACAGCACCACTAGCACATACCAGTGTTTCACCAATACTGCCTATTCACCCCTGCACTGCCACTCACATGTGTCAGGTTCTGACCACTGCTGGCAGCATTCGCTCCTGCGCTTGCAGCTGCACCGGGGAGGGTTAAAGCCCGAGTTTAGGGTTTAGGGTTAAAGCCCGAGTTTAGGGTTTAGGGTTTAGGGTTAAAGCCCGAGTTTTGAGTCGACTCAAAAGCAGTACTCACATTTGTTAAGTTCTGACCACCGCTGGCAGCATTCGCTCCTGAGCTTGCAGCTGCAGCCGGGTTAAAGCCTGCCCCTCGAAAGAACGGGCGAAAGGGGAGCGGGGGAGCAGGAGAGCCGGTGAGAGGGGGGATATTTCCGCCTCGGCTGCTCCTTGCACCTCCTCCTGCACCTCCTCCTGCTCCTCCTCCTGCTCCTCCTCCTGCCCCTCCTCCTGCTCCTCCTCCTGCTCCTCCTCCTGCTCCTCCTCCTGCTCCTCCTCCTGCCCCTCCTCCTGCTCCCCCTCCTACTGCTGACGGGGTGCTCGTTACAGGAACGCTGGTTTGGGTGAGGACGGACTGGGAGAGCCCCGTTTGAAGCACACCTGCTAGCGGCACACCTGCATGGGCTAGCTTGGCCAGGAGGGACGCTGGAGGCTGTGTGACTGTAGGGAGGGAGGACGAGGCGAAGAGAGCACTGAGGCTGTTCAGTGCACCCATGCTGCTGCTGCTGTTACCTAAGCTGCTAGAAGCGGACATGCTATTATTCAGGGTGTTAGGTCCGCTCATGCTCATGCTACCCATGCTGCCCATGCTGTTGATAGCACCACTACTACCCATGCTACCGATGCTGTTAAGCCCACTCATCCCTATGCTACCTATGCTGCTAGTCCCACTGATACCCATGCTACCCATGTTAACGCCACTCAGAACCCCCCCAGAACCAAGCACAGCAGCAGCTGTAGCGTTAGCAGCAGAAGTAGCACCAACTGTAGCACCTGCAGCGGCTGTAGCAGCTGTAGCGGCTGTAGCGGGTGCTGTTCCAGCCATGCCTGGCAGTCTCTGCAACAGCTGGCTGATTGAAGAGGCTCCAGGGGCTAAATTCGCTGCTACAGCCGCTGCTGCTAGGCTGGCTGGTAGCGCCGCCCCTGCCAGCCCACCCGCTCTCCCTGCTACAGTCCCTGTCGCCCCTCCTGCTACAGTCCCTGCCGCCCCTCCTGCTACAGTCCCTGTCGCCCCTCCTGCTACAACCCGAGTCGCCCCCCCTGCTGCTGCAGTTGCACTGGTTGCTACAGCTGCAGCTGTACCGGCTGCTACAGCTGCAGAGAGGGAGGGAGAGGGGGATGATCCTGGTGTGGAAAGATGCGGGCTGTTGCTGGGAGGGAATAAAGGGGGAGACACAGACGTAGGAGCAGCAGAAGAGGGCTGGGCAGCAGCAGCAGAGGCAGTGGCAGAGGCAGAAGCAGAAGCAGAAGCAGAGGCAGCAGCAACAGCAGCAGCAGAAGCAGAAGAAGCAGCAGCTGCAGAGGCGGAGGAGGCGGCCATAAGAGCAGAGAGCACACCGCTGGGGAGGGGACCTGAGGAGGAGGGGAACGGGCCTCCTGCAGGAAGCATGGACGGCCGTGGAAGGTGCGTGAATTGAGAGAGTGTGGTGGGGTGGCGGGGATTCGTGGCGTGTGATGGAATGCTGCTGCTGGTAGTGCTGCTAGTGGTGAAATTTGATGGCATGCCGCTTGTGCTGAAACGGGATGGGACGATGGCAGAAGTGGTATGAACCGAAGCAGAGGCCGTGAAAGGCTGTGCTAGTGCTGGTGGTGCTGCTGCTGATGATGCTGGTGATGCAGCTGGATGTGCGGATGGGGGTAGAGGGGCAGGAGAGTGGTGGCCTACAGACGTTGCAAGGCCGGCTGCTGCTGAGCCTGCTGGGGGGCGAATCTGCTGCTGGGAGAAACGAGGAGGGAGATGTTGCTCCTGCTGCGGCTGCTGCTGATGCTTCTGCTGCTGGTTCTGTTGTGGTGGTTGTTGCTGCTGGTGATGCTGCTGTTGCTGCTGTTGTGACTGCTGTAGTGACGGGGCCTGTTGCGACAACTGCTGCTGGTGTTGCTGCTGCTGTTGCTGCTGTTGCCATTGCTGCTGATGCTGCTGCTGCTGCTGTTGCCGTTGCTGCTGCTGCTGCTGCTGCTGCTGCTCCTGTTGCTGCGGCTGCTGCTGCTGCTGCTGCTGCTGCATCTGGAGCTGCCGTTGCTGCTGTTGCTGCAACTGCTGCTGGTTCTGCTGCAGCATCTGCAGTTGCTGCTGCATCTGCATCTGCAGCTGAGGTGGCAGAGCCTGCTGCAGAAACGCCAGCTGGCCCAATACCTGCTGCTGCTGACTCACCCCCTGCTGACTCAGCAGTTGCTCTGCCAGCTTGCCAAACAGAGGGTGAGACGCCAGCCCGGGGGGCAGCAACGGGATGTTGCCAGGTGGCAGGCTCCCACTGGCTGAAGATCCTACTGCAGCTGCTGCCCCTGCTGGTCTGGACTGTAGCTGAGAGGGTAATTGCTGCACTGAATGTTGTGGTTGCTGCTGCTGCTGTTGCTGCTGCTGCTGCTGCTGCTGGTGTGCCTGGTGTTGCTGTTCCTGTTGCCGGTGCTGTTGCTGTTGCTGTTGTTGCTGTTGCTGCTGCCCTTGCCGCTGCTGTTGTTGCTGCTGCTGCTGTTGCTGCTGCTGTAGCTGCTGGTGTTGCCACTGCTGTTGCTGCTGGTGTTGCTGTTGTTGTTGCTGCTGCCGCTGCTGTTGCAGCTGGTGTTGCTGCCGTTGCTGCGCTTGAGCTTGCGCATGCAAGAAAGGAGAGGCGGAGTGCATGGGGTGAAACGAGACGCCTGGCACAGTTCCACCTGCTCCAGCCGCCCCACCTGCCCCACCTGCTACAGCTGCTCCTGCTGCTACAGCTGCTCTATTTGCTTGAGGAGGAGGGGAGGGAGACGGCTGCAATGGCTCATCTCCAAACCCTGGCCCATCATTCAAATCGAAGTCCAAAAACCGATTCTGTGATGCTGGTGGGGAAGTGGGGGCGGCAGGGGCAGCAACGGGAGCCGAGGGAGCAGCAGGCGCACCGTCAGCAGACTGCCTATTAGAGACTGAAGCAGCAGCAGCAGCGCCCCCAGCAGGAGGGGGATGAGGAGGAAGAAACTCCGCCTCTTCCTCCTCCGCCTCCTCTGCAAAGTTCAGGTCAAACCCTCTAGGCGCAGGGGCAGGGGCAGGCGCAGGGGCGTGGGAAGAGACAGGGGCAGGTGCAGGGGCAGCAGCAGGAGGATAGGTGGCTGCTGGACCGGTTGTAGCACCATCTGTAGCGGCAGCTGTAGCGTCTTCAGCAGTGTCCTCAGCGACGTTTAGGTCAAAGTCAAACAGAATGCGAGGCCGCTTCTCAGCCGGCTTCTCCTCCTGCTGCTTCTGCTGCTGCCCTTGCTGTTGCTGCTGCTGCTGCTGCTGCTGCTGCTGCTGCTGCTGCTGCTGCTGCTGCTGCTGCTGCTGCTGCTGCTGCTGCTGCTGCTGCTGCTGCTGCTGCTGCTGCTGCTGCTGCTGCTGCTGCTGCTGCTGCTGCTGCTGCTGCTGCTGCTGCTGCTGCTGCTGCTGCTGCTGCTGCTGCTGCTGCTGCTGCTGCTGCTGCTGCTGCTGCTGCTGCTGCTGCTGCTGCTGCTGCTGCTGCTGCTGCTGCTGCTGCTGCTGCTGCTGCTGCTGCTGCTGCTGCTGCTGCTGCTGCTGCTGCTGCTGCTGCTGCTGCTGCTGCTGCTGCTGCTGCTGCTGCTGCTGCTGCTGCTGCTGCTGCTGCTGCTGCTGCTGCTGCTGCTGCTGCTGCTGCTGCTGCTGCTGCTGCTGCTGCTGCTGCTGAGAGCTTTGTCGGGAGATTTCTTTGCTCTGCTTGCCTTCCTCTTTGTCCCACCAGCCCCCCCTGTAGCCGCACCGGCCTTCGCCCCATGAGCCTGCCCCTGCTTCTCTGGCAACTGCGCTGCCTTCTGTGCTTGTGCCTGTAACTGCAACCCTCCTTGTGCTTGTGACTGTAACGAGTGCAGCCCCTGCTGCGAAAATGTTTGTAACGAGTGGAGCCCCTGTTGTACCTGTACCTGTGATGCTTTCTGCCCATGCAATTGTACGCCTTTTTGTGACTGTAACGACCCTTTTTGCACTTTTAATGGCAGGCCCTTGTGCGACTGTGACTGTGACACTAACGGGGACTGCTGCTGGTGCTGCTGCAGCTGCTGCTGCTGCTGCTGCTGCTGCTGCTGCTGCTGCTGCTGCTGCTGCTGCGTTGAAGACCCGGCTTGGCCGTGCATCAGAGCCTGCTGCAGCTGCTGCAACCCCAGCACCCCCTCCTCCTCGCCCGCCTCCCCTTTGCTCACCCCCACTCCCTCCTGCACCCGCTGCTGCTGCTGCTGTTGCTGTTTCAACTGCTGTTGCTTCAACTGTTGCTGTTGCTGGTGCATCAGCTGCGGCTGCGGTGGCTGCTGCTTCAGCTGCGGTTGTTGTTGCTGCTGACGAGCCTTCGCCTCCTTCCTTTCAGCTGCCTGTTGCTTCTGCAGCCACCGCAGTGGAATATCCTCCTGCCTTTCCTCCTTCTCCTGCTTGCCCTGCTTCTTTGGTGTCCCCACTTTCCCACCCGCCTCCCCTGCACCGTCCTGCTTCTCCTCTTTCACTACCTCAACCGCAGCCCCTGCCACAGCTCCTGCAGAAGCTACTGCTGCTGCTGCTGCTCCTCCTCCTCCTCCTCCTCCTGCTGCTGCTGCTGCTGCTGCTGCTGCTGCTGCTGCTGCTCCTCCTCCTCCTCCTGCTGCTGCTGCTGCTCCTCCTGCTGCTGCTGCTGCTGCTGCTGCTCCTCGTCCTGCTGCTGCTGCTGTTGCTGCTGCTTCTGCTGCTACCGCTGCAGGTGCTGCTGCTGCAGACCCATCCTTGGTTCTAACCAGCCCACGTGGTTTCCCCACTCCAGCTTTCCGTGCCCCTTCCCCTCCTGTCTTTGACGCCCCTGCTCCGGTCCTCTTCCTTGTTACCTTCACCTTCTCGCCCCCTTCCTTCTTCTCTCCCCCCTCTTCCTTCCTCTCCCCTGCTTCCTTCCTACCCCCGTCCACTGCCCTCTCCCCTTCTTCCCCCTTCTTCCCACCCCCTTTCCCCCTCTTACCCCCCACTCCCCCACTCCCCACACTGTCAGTATCCCCATCACCACACACCTTCAGCCTCTTAGCAACAGGCATCCTCACTTGCTTCTCCCCTTCTCCCTCTCCAGCTATCCCCGTTCCCTCTGCCTCTCTCCCTTCCGCCCTCCCTGCCACTGCGCCTGCCCCAGAGCCTACCACAATATCTGATCCGGCCACCCATGCCCCCTCGCTCTTCTCCCTCTCGATCTCAGCAGCAAGAGCCGCCCGCCAGGGACTTTGCAAGGCGGCAGGGAGAGAAGAAGCAGACAGGGAGGAGCGGTGGGAGAGAGGAGGGGATGACAGGGGGGAAGGGTGTGAGGGCAGGGCAGAGGACAGGGAAGCGGCGTGCAGGGCAGCACTGGCTGCAGCTGCTGCAGCAGCAGCAGAGGCGAGAGCAGAGGCCGTCGGAATGGTATCAGAGCGACCAGAACTGGAAATCAGTTGGCCGTTTTGCCGGCCCTTGCCCTGCCACTTACCAGACGCCAAAACTGCTGCCACACTCAACTCCTCTTCATCCTCTGAATCTGCTGCCCCTGCCCCTGCCCCTGCCCCTGCCCCTGCCCCTGCCCCTGCCCCTGCTCCTGCTTCTGGTTTCACAGCTGCGTCTGCAACCCCTGCTGCTGCTGCTGCTTCCCCAGCTGCTGCTGCCCCTCCTGAAGCCAAACCTACCTCCCCCTTCACATCTGCCGCTGTCCCGTCCTCCAGTCTCCCTCTGCTGCCCAGGTTACCATCAGTGAACCCCCCCTCCCCTTCGTCCTTCGCTTCTGCAGCTTTCAGAAGGCATTCAATCGCTAGCTGATCCGCACTTGGCCCATCCTCCATGCCCCCTCCCGTGCCCCCTCCTATGCCCCCTCCTATGCCCCCTCCTATGCCCCCTCCTATGCCCCCTCCTATGCTCTTTCCCATGCCTCCACCCGTGCTGCCACTTCCTATCCCTACCATTCCTCCCGTCTCTCCCCGCTCCTCCATCATTCCTCTCTCTTGCCCGACCCTTGACTCCCCATCCCTGCTCGCCCGCCCACTCACCTTCTCACTCAAACGCCCAGTCAGGCCCCCAAACCCTAATTTTCTGCCCCCGCCACCACTACCCTCAGCGCCTCCCCCAGATGGCACCTCCCCCGGATCAGCCGGCTCTGCACCCGCCACGCTCATCAGCGACGCCAGCACTGTAGCAGTCTCGGTGGGCGGCGGATCCTCGTCCGCATCTGCACTGTTGCAGTTGCCGCCGCCCGCCAGCCCTCGAGAATCCGAGGCATTCTCTCTCACCCCTTGGGGTTCACTGGGTGTAACAGCTCTGCTTACCTCACACTCATCCATACCACCAGACTCAGTAGCAAGAACAGCAGCAGGACCTGCAGCGGGAACAACAGCAGGAGTAGCAGCATCAGCCGCAGCAGCAGCACCACCACCACCACCACTATCACCAGCAGCTGCTGCAGTTGCAGCTCCAGAAGCAACGGGAACATCTGCAGCAGCAGTAGCAGGCGTAGCACCGTCACCCACACCTCTCAACCCACTCGCAATCTCACTCAACCCCTTGGGACTCCTCCTTTCTGCCTCACCCCCGTCCCCCTCGGAAACAGCAGGAGACGCACCCCTAGAACCCCCCATGGGCAACCAAGGAACAGGGGACCGCCTCCCCTTGGGGATCCGAGAGAGCAGAGGAGAGGAGGGGGGAGGGGCGCGAGGAGGGGAGGAGAGAGATGAGAGAGAGGACGTGAGGGGGTGGAGTGTGGGCTCGTGGGTGGAGTGAGGGGGGGAGGAAGGGAGGGTGCTGGGGCGGGAAGCTTCCATGACAGAGGCAACGGCGGCCATCTTGACTGCCTTGACTTTCTTAACTGGCCGGTGGGAGAGTGGCGAGGGGATGACGGTGCCCTTTATAATCACAGCCGATCGCCTGCCTGTGACTATGCCTGGAGGGACGGGAAGAAAAAGCCAAGGCGAGAGAGAAGAGAACGTTTGTAAGAGGAACTGTAGGGAAGGCAGTAGGGGAGCCCTGGCACAACGGTGGTAAGAAAAGGGATAGACAGAAGGAGACGGGTTGGGGGAGACCGGAGGCAAAAGTGGTGCATAGTGGGAGGGAGTGAGAGAAGGCACAAACACAGAAACAAGAAAAGAAAAAGAAAACAATTTTAACAGTCAGCAGGACACTAAGTGGAACTAACAGGGTAAATAACCACTATCATTATGATATAATGAACCGGAAAAAAAAGAAGAAAAAAAATACATAAATAAACAAAAAACAAATACCGCACACACACACACACACACACACACACACACACACACACACACACACACACACACGCACGCACGTCTCCTACCATAATCAGAAAACCAGCACACTCACTTGAGCCAGTGGGGGCACGGGGCCGATCGCTGTCCAGCCCTCTTCTTCTGGGCGGCAGATAGTCCGAGAACTGCCGCCCTCCACCAGTTGCCATCGCCACGTCAGCCCTCTGCCCTCCTCCACTCCCAGGGCCAGGATCGGTCTCCCTCTCTCTCACACCCTCCCTCTCTCTCACACCCTCCGTTTCTCTCCCCGCCTCCCTTTCTCTCCCCCCGTCTCTTTCTCTCACTCCCTCTCTTCCCTTCCTCTGCTCACTTTCCTTCGCGCCCTCAAACTCACCACGCCCCTCCGCAGGACCATTCCCAGAAGCTTCCCGCTCCTTGCACTCAGCACCCAATCTCTCTTGCTCCCTCCTCCCACCCCAACCCTTCCCTACCCCTCCTGACACCTCTGCAGCATTCCCCTCGCTCAGCCGATCCCCCTGTGTCTGCTCGCCACTAACAGGACTTGCCGCTTGGTTCTCAGCATTCCTCCTGCCCTGACGCTCCAGGGATTTACTCTCAGAAGCAGCCCCACTTGCTGCTCCCCCCAGATCTGTCACACCATTTTTTTCCTCCTCCTCTTTCCCACGTTTGTTCACAGAAAATCTTACAATTAGCCTTCTCTCGTCCCCACCACCAACTTCTGCCCTCTCCTCCTGCTCCCCCTGCTGCTGCTGCTGCTGCTGCTCCGTTTCCCCCTCCTGCTCTCCCTGCTGCTGCTTCAGCCCCTTACCATCAGAACCTTTTTCCCTGCCACTTACCTCTTCCCGCCCATCTCCCGTCCCTCTCCCTGCACCTTCCTTCAGTGTCTCGCCCGTAACAGCACCCTCCTTCTCTAATGGCCCTGCAACGGCTGCCTCTGCTAAAAAGCCTATCAAGTCCTTCCCTGATTCTCCTCCTCCCCCTAATCCCCCTAATCCTCCTACTCCTACTCCTTCTTCCCCCTTCAAGCCCCCTTCCTGTGTCACCATCCCCTGCTCTCCTGCCCCACCGCCCTTATCTGTCCCTGCCCCTGCCCCTGCCCGCGTCTCTGCTCCCGTTTCTTCTTTTGCCTTTTCCCCTGCTACCTCCTGTCGGCCTCCCCCACTCCTTCTCCCACTACCCACGTCACCAGAATCTTGCCTTGCGTCCCCACCATCACGACCACCACCAGAATCAGCACCACCAGCAGCACCAGCACCACCAGCAGCACCAGCAGCACCAGCAGCACCAGCACCACCAGCAGCACCAGCACCACCAGCAGCACCAGCACCACCAGCAGCACCAGCACCACCAGCAGCACCAGCACCACCAGCAGCACCAGCACCACCAGCAGCACCAGCAGCCCCAGCAGCACCAGCAGCACCAGCAGCACCAGCACCACCAGCAGCACCAGCACCACCAGAACCACCACTGACAACCGCGCCAGCACTTCTAATCTCTCCCCCCATCTCATCATTCCCCGCTTCCCCATCCCTCCCCGTCTCCCACTGTTGCTTGCTCCTCTCCTCCTTTTCACTCCCTGCCACCCCACCTGCAGCCCCAACCGCAATCCCTCCTGCAACCCCCCCACCCCCTGCTGCTTCCACAGCCGCCCCCTCAGCAAGCAAGGCACCAGCGGCAGCGCCACCACCCACGCACTCTCGCCCTGCAACTGCCCCATCCAACGCACTCTCGCCCATGCCCTTGACAAGCAAATCTGCCTTGCTCTTTGTATCTCGATCTGCCTTGTGCTTCGTATCACACTCTGCCTTGCTGTTCGTATCTTGCTCTGCCCTGGACCCATCCCTATCCGCCCGCCCTTCTCCTTCTTCTGGCTTCCCTGTCTCTCCAGACACCCTCTGTGCGCCTCCTTGCCCTCCTGCGCCCTCCCCACCCTCCACTCGCTCTGCTGGACTGCCTCCTTCCTCCTTCCTTCCCTTGTCTTTCTCCTTGTCCTTCCGGTGCTCCCTCTCTTTCTCCTTCTCCTTCTCCTTCTCCCTCTCCTTCTCCTTATCCTTGTCCTTATCCTTATCCTTCTCCTTCTTCTCTTTATCCCTCTCCTTCTCCCTCTCCTTTTCTTTCCTATCCTTTCTGTCCTTCCCCTTCTCTTTCTTCCCCTCCTTACCCTCCCTATGCTTATGCTTACTCCTCTTAGACTCCCTATCCCTATCCTTCGACCCTCTTTCCTTCTCCTTCCCCTTCTCCCTATCCTTCTCCCTCTCCCTCTTCTTCCCATGCTCCCTATCCCTCTCCACCTCCCGCCCCTCACTCTCCTTCTCCCCTTTCTTCTCCCTCCCCTTCCCATCCACCCCACTCTTCCTCTCTCCATCCTCCTCCCCACACCCCTCACCCTCCTTCTCCCCTTTCTTCTCCTTTCCCTTCCTCCCCTTCTCCTCCTCCTCCCTCCGGCTCCCACTAGACGCCTTCTCGCTGCTGCTGCGCATAGGGGAACTCGCTACTTGACGGCCCCCCACCCCACTGGCTGGGCTAACAGCAGGGCTCTTTACAGGTACTGGGATCTTCACCACTAGCCGATTTATTGTCGCAGACTCTCCCTTTTCTGCTGCTTCAGAACCTGCGGCAACATCAGCAGCTGCAGCGGCAGGAGGAGAAGGAGCAGTGGCAGCAGCAGCAGCAACAGCAGCCACGGTTTCTGATTTACCCCCTTCTTCTCCAACCACACGAGCACCAGCACCATCATTCCCAGCTGCCCCTGCACCATCCTCTGATCCGACCCCACCTCTCGTTCCATTCAGTGTTTCCTCCAAGCCCGACTCTGTTTCCTTGACACCACTAGCTCCTTCGCCCCCCTCCCTCCTCCCCGCGAATTCAGCCCCTTTCTCCGCCTTCTCCCCACGCTCGTTCTCTCCGTCTTCCCCCTCCACCCCTTCGCCTTCCTTTGCCGTTCCCTCCTCAGCCAACCGCGGTCTCTCCGCCTCCCCTGGTGAGAATCTTCTGGCCTCCACCTCCCTTTCCTCCTTCCCTTCCTTATCCTCCTTTCCATCCTCTTGATCCTTCCCCTCCTTTCCTTCCTTCCCCTCCCTCCTTTCCCTCCGCTTCTCCTTCTCCTCATTCTCCGTCTCTTGCGAAGGCACAGCCTCTCCCTGCGGTTTGCTCGAACCAGCTCGCTCCTGCAGCTTCCCTTGCCCATCAGACGACTCAGCGGCAACAGAACCCACAGCAGACGCGGCAGCACCATCTCTTTCCGCTGATCTTTCTGCTTTTGACGGCTCACGGCCGGCCACAACGCCCTCCTCTTTCAGAACCCCTTTCCCTGGTTTGCTCCCCGTCCCCGCTTTCTTCCCCTCTTTTTCCTTCTCCTTCTCCTTCTCCATCTCTTTCTCCTTCTTCTCCTTCTCCTTCTTCTCCTCCTTTTCCTTCTCCTTCTCCTTCTCCCTCTCTCTCTCTTCCTCCGCTTGCAAATGCCCACTTCTTCGTTCCTCCCTCTCCGCTCTCTTCTTCTCCTCTCCCGCTTCCTCCTCCGCAGAATCTCCCTTCTCCCCTCCTCCCACCCCAGAAACCTTACCCTCCGCCCGTTCCGTTCCTGTCCCTTTGCCTGCCGAGCCTACTCCTCTTGGACTCACCACCTTGCTTCCACTCCCACCCGATTTTGGTAACCCACTCGCGTGACCCTTCTGGTTACCACTTCGCAGGCTCCCAGGCGAAACCTGCGACTCCCCCCGGCCCCTGGGACTGCCCCCCGGAACGGACAGGGGGGAAGGGGGCGGCCGCCCCCCTTCCCCCGATCCGCCTCCCCCTCGCCCTCTCCCCGCCCCGGGCGTCCCACTGACGTCTCCCCCGTCCGCTGCCGAGCCACTAGGTTTGGCAGCCCGAAGCTGCCCCGAGCCTGCTGTGAGCTGGGTTGGCGAAGACGCAGGGGAGGGAACAGCGGACGGTCGCAGGGGTGATGCGGCCACAGGTGTGACTATAACGGGTGTCCCTTTTTTCGCACCCGCCCCCCCTGTCCCTGCTTCTGCTCCTGAAGCTGCTGTCCCTCCAGTTGCTGCTGTACCTACGTTTGCTGCGGCTCCCGTTCCCCCTCCCCCTGCACTCCCCCCCGGGCTCCCCCCTCCCCCTGCGCTCTTCCGCCCCATGTTCTCCGCGAGCGTCTCGTCCACGCGCTTCTTCCAAACCTCCACCAACCGCTTTGCGCGCCTCTGCACCTCCGCGTTGCGCTGGCTGCGCAGCTGGTTCACCGATTTGCCCACCACGCAGCTCTTAAGCGCCTCCAGATCCACCGGCAATCGCGCTAACGCGCGGAGAAGCGCCAATAAGAGGTCGTCTAGCGCGGCCTGATCGACTGTATCTCCCCCCCTGCTGCTTCCGCCGCCGCCGCTGCCGCTGCTGGTGTTCCCGTGGCTGTATTTGCCCTTGTGCGTTTCCTGCAACCATTCGTCTAGGGTTTTCAGGCCTCCTTTCACGATGAAATGCGACAGGCACGACTCCTCGTCCGTGGCTGCGACAGCGTGAGCGACCGCGCGACGACGTGCGACGGCGTCGGCGAAACTGAGCTTCCGTCGCCCGTCGCTCTTGTCGGAGTTCACAAGCGAGAGAAGCGACTCCACGGCTTTAAGATTCGGCAAACCACCTCCCGGTTTCGAGCAAACCGCATTAATGTCCGCGAGAAGCGTTGAAAGATGCTTGTCGAGCGGAGGCGAAGGATCGTGATGTGAAGTTCGATGCGCATCCTGCGAAGCTCTTGGTCCGGGATCACTACTATGAGTCCTCTGCCCCGCGTGTCCCGCGTTTCCCGCGTGTCCCGCGCTTCCTGCGTTTCCCGCGTGTCCCGCGTCGTGTCCATGATGGGATCTCTGCCCATGCGGAACGTGAGGAGCAGTCGACATTAACGATGCGAGGGGACGGGTCGGGCCGCCATGGCCGTCGCTGTCCCTCTCTCTGTGCGACCGATGCCGCTCCTTCCCGGTGTTCTCATCGTCGCCCCCCTCGCCCTGCCGTTGTTTTCCGCTCGGCATCCCGAACAGCCGTGAAAGTGCAAATGCTACGCAACCGCGACGTCTGATCTGATGAACGCGTAGGTTGGAAAGATCAATCAACCGCTAGATTGACTGGAACCACGAACAAAAGCCCCTCCAGTAGCTAACCTCATGGCATGGATCCCCTATTTCTTCTCTTATATGCACTAATCGTGGTGCCTGGGAGTGGCGGATAGAGTCGACTTAAGTCCAATCAGCTGCTTTGGAAGGAGGAAAAAAAAAAAAACGGAAAGTAGCAACCATTAATTCAATAGCTGGTCGAAAAAAGAGCAGAAGAAAACAAAAAAACAACAAAATAGAAAGAACTATTAAGTATAATAAATGCAACATGACACGCATGCGAAAAACGATCTGAATCTCTCGAATGGCTTGATGCGAATATAAACCACGAATAGAGTATTAGGATGCTCGCAGCTACGTTTGTATTGCACCTGCAAGCGAAAGAACCAACAGCCATAGATTAAATGATTTCAGACAGCTTACTCGCTCTACAGCTTCCTGCTGCGTCAGAAATTCGAAACTGGAAAGAAGATCGGAATTCAAATATAGTCGGCTTATGAGCCTCAGCATGACGGCTCGTGCTATCTTCCTCAACACTGTTCCGTTCCGAGATACTCTCAAAAAGCATCAGTAACAACCATAGAACAGGAAGAATCGAGGAAAATAATTCAGATCTGCAGTGGTCGGAGGAATAGGAGGGGATAAGCGCAAGGGTTACAGAGAAGGCGGAAAAACGTGGGGGTTAGGTTAAGGGGGAAGCTCGGTTGAGCGGAGTGGATTGTGCCCCTCGATATTTGGTTCAAGCTGCAATTACAGTACACCCTGTTTCGCGCTAGCAGAGCATCTGGTTGCAGAACATGCACTGGTTGTAGAACGTCACCACGTTTGAAATGGTCTTATCACCGACGGTACAAGCACATTCACAAGAAAGCGGTTAGCTAGGATGCTGCATGGTAAAGAACATTAACAAAGCGTTTCAAAACGGTTGAAAAGGGTATACAGCGATAAAGAAAATTTTTGCCCCCAGTACCACTCCGTCAGCTGGTGCGGCTTTGCCCGCAGGTTTCAGCCATACGGTTTATGGCACCTGACCGCACTGTAGCAGCGAATCGCGCAAGGTGAGAGGGTCGAGAAACAGGGTGTAGTTGAACGTTTAAGCATTTCTTGCTGCTGAGTTGAAACTACCATAACCTTCTAACAAAGTCAGAGAACCTGATTCAAATGGAAGGGATGCGTTTCAAACGGAGGTGGAACGGGTCAGGGCATTCGAGACACAAAAATCTGTACACTGTATAGAGCCGCACAATCTCGAGGGGGAACTGGCTGGGAGTTCAAACTTCAAAGGACGAACTGAGGGAGAACCAAGCGGTTTCGCGGAACGGAACGCGCATGAAAGGGACCAGCCTATCAGGTCAGGTGCATGCTAGCTCTTCAGAAATCGGGAAGACCCGTCGAAGAGACAGCCGGAGGACAGTCACGGAACAGAACAGAACTGGCTCGGCGGGATGTGGGGAAATGGGGAGATTGGCGGGAGGGAGTCAAGGGGAGCTTGGCTCGGAATCTCGGCTCGGATTGAAGAGCGAGCTACAGTATCTGTGAGTAAACCTTGCTGCAAGACAACAGCGTGCACTGTAGTGCTGACGCGACACAAGGGCAAGATTGCCTTGTCACCTTCTGCAACTGGCACGACAAGCTGACAGTGTGAACAAGAATCGATGAGGGAGACCAGATCGAGCCATAAGCTGCTGCCATTTGCGTGATGTTCCCAAGGTCTGGTCTCCATCAACCGAGGGGAAGACCTCGCCCGAATCCCTCCGAGGACCCCCTTTCGCCCCTGCGGGTTTTCCTCGGAGGGATTTTCGTTTTCCCTCTGTCGCGTGGCGGGGCACGCGAGGGGCGGGAGCCAGCCCACACGCCCACCCGAAACGAGCCACGCCAGCTCGGAGTGACGCGAGGTGGTCCTCCTCGCTCGAGCTGGCGTTGACCCCACGTGCTCCCCCCGGTCTGCACCAACCCCGCCTGCAACAAACCCCCTGTCCGTCGAGACAACCCGCCTCCGTCGACGGATTCTGTCTCGACCCGACGGGAAGTGGTGCAGAGAAAAGCGCGGCAGAACGCGCCACAGACCAATTCGATACAGAGCACAGCTGACACTGAAATAAAAGCGTATACCTAAAAAAATAAATACATAAACTGCAATGGGCAAACTTGATAAGGAATAGGAGGCACCAAAAAGGGGGCATTCCCTACAATTCTCGTCAATAATTAATCATCAATTTTAATCTTATTCATGCGCAGGTGCCAGGTAGAAGACCTGTCGACGGTTTCGCTCGCTACCCGTGCACCGTAGAGCAAGTGAATATGAACTTAATGAGAATGCATTCTTGTACCACCGGGGCCAGCCTTTCTAGCACGCTGCAGGGACCGACTCAACCGACTACAAAGACGAGGGGTCAGGCGTTACTTTCACCGACCAGCTCGGCGCTGCTTGGTCGAACAGCATTCGCCGAGACCAGCTCGTCGAGCACAGCACGTCGAACAGTGCCCATCAAAAGGTTTCGTCGACCACTAATGTGCATTAGCAATGCACGTCGGCGTCGTCGACTGGATCCCATCGAGCAGAGCCTGCGACAACATTTTTGTCGTCGACCGTCCCGTCGTCGACATAAAACGAAGTGTTGTCGAAGAGAGTTTGAAAACCAAACACTGCCATAGGTGAACTACAGAGAAGAAGTGAACGAGAATGAATCGACTATGAATGAAGTGAGTACATATAGGAAACCCTGATTGTGTTGTACCCCCTATGGGATACCCCACTATAGCCTACACAAATATATTTAAGCTATAATGTTCTGACACACCCCCATAGGCAAAGTGGGGGAGAACAAGGGGTCACAAGACCAGTCAAGCAAAGCAAAGCAAAGCTCAGGGTGGATCACAAAGTCACCACACATTCCGAGCACAAGTTCAAAGGCCAGAAGACCAGTTCACATGCAAGATAATATATAGAGATACACAAGAGGCAAGCAAGCAAGAGCAAGAGTATATATAGGTAAAAGTACAAGCAAGGTCAAGAAGTGAGCAAGTGAGGCAAGACACGCACAAGGCCCAGCTGCGTGCAGCAGCGCTGATGATCACAAGGCGCAAGTGCCTTGGTGAAGACATCAGCAATTTTGGCCTCAGAGGCTACGTACGCAAGTCGCAACTGTCCACGCTGCTGTAGCTCACGAGCAAGAAAGTAGCGGAGAGCAATGTGCTTTGTCCTGTGCTCCAGTCGCTGTTCTCGACACAAAGCCAGCATGGCCTTGTTGTCTACGTACAGGACTGGAGGAGAACGAGGCGGCTCTCCAAGGTCAGTCAGCAGGTAGGTGAGCCAGCGTAACTCCTGTGCAGCCATGGCCCCAGCGTAGATCTCAGCCTCACAACTGGAGCCGAGAACAGAAGACGAGCGAGTAGCCCGCCACGAAACAGAGCCGGAACCAAGACTGAAGGTGTAACCCTGTGACGACCGCTGCGTAGCCTGGTCGTCAGCCCAAGAAGCGTCTGCGTGCCCAGTGAGGACCACTGGACTGCGCCCTCCAAGCACTAGCCCCATGCCCGACGTACTGCACAAGTAGCGCAGCACCCTCTTCGCTGCAGCCATGTGCTCTGGTCGGTGTCTCCCAGGAGCAACATAGCGTGCAAGAATGCTCAGAGGGAATGCAAGGTCAGGTCGTGTGCAGGTCATCAGGTACATGAGACAGCCAACAAGCTCTGCATACGGACCACTCGACTCTACGGACTCATCCGAAGGCAGAGCTGAGAGCGAGTGGCGAGTAGGCAGAGGAGTGGCCTGAGGCGAGGAGTACGTGAAGCCGAAGCGCTGAAGGACCTGTTGCACCATGTGTGACTGAGTCAGGGTAATGGTGCGGCGTGCTCTGTCCCGGGTGATCTGCAAGCCAAGGTAGCTGCGCAGTTCACCCAGGTCAGTGCACGTGTGTCTCTTCTGCAGCTCGGACTTCACGTAGGCGAGTCCAGCAGTGTCAGCTGTGGCAAAGACCAAGTCGTCCACGTACACGAGGATGTAGAACGGCGGCAGAGAGGTGTCGGTGCGCAGAAACAGCGACGGGTCTGCAGTGGAGGGAGCAAACCCAAGTGCCGCCAGTGTAGTCCTCAGTGTGTCGTGCCACTCACGCGGCGCCTGGCGGAGACCGTAGACTGGACGCCGGAGACTCCACTGGGTACCAGGAGCGAAAGACCCAGCGAAGCCAGGTGGGCGACGCAGCCAGATCTCCTCGTGCAGGCTGCCCTGCAAGAAAGCAGTGCTGAAGTCGAGAGAGTGCAGCTCGTAGTTGCAGTGAGCAGCAACGTGTAGCAGTACCCGAAGAGTGGTCATCTTCGGGGTGGGGGAGAAGGTCTGAAAGTAGTCAACTCCCTGTCGCTGACTGAAGCCACGAGCCACGTAACGCGCCTTGAAGACAGGCGGAGAACCCGACGGCCGCTTCACCCTGAAAATCCACATGCCACTGACGATGTTCGCCCCAGGAGGGGGGACAGCGTCAACGTAGGTGCCTGTGGACTTCCAGGAAGCCATCTCTGCATACATAGCTGCCTGCCACTAAGAGGAGTAGGGACCCTC